AACTGTGCATTGCTCTGGTAGCAGGCACAGAGCCACTTTGCCCAGGCAGTGAATGGCTCATAACGTTTAGTGGCTGATACGCAGATATGGTTGGAAAGGGTATGAATGACACTTCCCCCCCAGTCCTCCTGTGAAATAGGAGATAATAGAAATACTTAAAATGAACAATCTAGGATTTTTTAAGGTCTGACTTAAAACTAAAATGAGATTCTGTGTAAATTTTATTGCTTGCACTAGTAAAGAACTGGATGTGAAAATCCTAAAAATATCATCTAAATTTGCCTTCACTGTGCTTGATGTTCTTTGCAGCTTAAGATCTTAGCTGTTGTATTTCTTTTTTTTACATTGTAGCCCGTAATCTGCTATTTATTTAATAAATTTACCTGATCTAACAATTTATTACATGTAAGTAAGCTTTATATTCTTACCTTAGTAATTAAGAAATTATAATTACATTTAATTAAATCATAAATTTATTTTAGGTGTTCTAAGCTTATTTAATAAAACTTTAGCACAGTATCTTTTCTGGAGTTAATATTTGTATATGGTCCGGTCCCAGTGTTTATGAAAATGGCAAACTAAGTTTTAGTAATAAATTCTGAATTACCACAGTGTATTAAATATATGCATTATAAATACTTACTTGTCGTCCTTAATGCCAGTTAAGAAGCTTTATTTGATGTATTTAACAAGAATTCAAGAAAATAAAACCAATTTATGTCATTCAGTACTATAGTTTATATAGCATTGAGTTTTGCAAGGTAAATTGTCCTTCAGTTTCATTATGATCTACTCTGAAGTGTACTTGGATTTCTGGACTTCTGTAAGATTCAGCATAATCAGAGCAGAACTGCCTTCTGAAACAGAACAGCAGAGCAGGAAGGAGTTTGAAATGTGCATGCCTCCCTTTATTTGTCTGTAAAGGAACAAAATGTTTAGAAAATCCAAGTAGTGTTGTTTCCACATACCTTCTGTGCCTGAAAATCTAACAGCAGCAAAAAGTGTATGTATAGGTGAAAGGAGCTTTAGAACAATGCAGTAGAAGATTGGGAAATCCTGTTATTGGTAGGGGATCACAAGTTTAGACTTCCTGCACTTCAGTGCTGTTAACTTGAGCTGGAAGTTATTTTCAGTTCAAGCAAAGAACTGGCATGTTCCATGATGTGTCAAAATAAGGAAATTGGTGCACTCATAAGTAAATGGTAAGCCCAATTTGATGTGTTTGATCTTGGTACAATGTTGCAGTCTGCGAGAACCCATGTAGTAAATATTCCAATATTTATTTACTAATCTTTTCCAACAACTGTTTCCAACAGTGACACACAATTCCTGTTCCAGGCATCTGTATCGATTGTCTATGTTCAACTTTTAAATATTTGTGTGCAATCTCTAAGATAGCATGGTCCTGATTTCTACAGCTCAAGTGCTTAGTTCTTACAGTTGTGGTGTTATGCAGGTGTTATTCCTGTTTCAGAAAGGATATTCTTATTTAGTATTAAGTAGCTAATGCTACTGTGGCTACCTTTTTCCTTTAGTCCATTTTACTTAGTGTATTCAAAACTCCTTTGCTAAAGTTGTCCATGTCTCCTCCACCCCAAGTATATCATTCCATCTCTTACTTAAATCTCCTCATTGACTCTGCATATATTTTTTTTGCTTTTTGTTATCACCTTTAACGTTCAGCTTAATCTTTACTAAGTGAAATCTCGGCTTTAGTTTCTGATTACATTTGCCCCTCTTAAGACTTACGTTCCAGTCAATCCTCTCATCTTTCTGCTTCCACTGTTTTCTCCCTGATGTTTGCCCTCCCTTCCTTCAGATCTTCTTTTTAAAACATTTTTTTTTAATATAGTCTCCCTAGAACTAATAAAGTTTCCCTTATCCAAACTACTTTTTGATGTTACTTATAGTTTTTCTTGTCTGACTTGGTCTGGATTATGTTGCTTTGACGAAGTCCTTCACTGAAACTAGACAGTGGAATCAGAAACTGTGTGCAAACCTCCTTTTAAGTCTTCCTATTTGAAAGCAGAGAGGAAGCATTGAAAAAGCTTTCAGGAGCTTGGTATCTGTCAATTTCTGCTTACAAATGGCATGTAAATAAAAGGTACACAATTGTATGCAACTTTAGTAATAACTTAATAGAATATGAAAAAAAATTATAATAGGCAATACATTTCCATTAATAAATTAATATATACTGCTATAGATAATTCACTGTATCTGGCTTTTAGAATGTGCATAATCCTCTCATTTTAAAGCATGGAGCCTGGAGAATGTATTTGAGTCAGAAATAGTGAATGAGGTTACAAAGGATAATTTTGGATGTGCATTTTTCAAGGTACTGTGTAAGCAAGTTTTTTAATAAATTAGAGATTGCCAGTAAGCTATATAGTATACATTTCCCTCTTTCATATGGAATTCTTCCTTTATGAGGGAGCAAGATATAAATCTGATGATTTTGGTTCTGAACTGATGAGGAATTTTAATAATAAAAGAGAACTTTAAAAAATAATATGTAATATAAAGCAATATGCTTTATAATGTATATTCTTAGCCAGCACAGTTCCTTTACAGTGAATTTGGACAAGAAAGGAGAATTTGGAGGAGAATAAAATCATAACTATTTTCTCAGAAAGTATAGGATAGCCTATAGTATAAAAGTAATAGTCTAAATCATATATAGTCTCACTTTTATTTCTTCTCTATGTATCAGTTTTCTAAATACTGACAGAATTGCCTACAGTATAAAAGTACTAGTCTAAATCATACACATTACCACTTCAATTTCTTCTTTAGACACCAGTTTTTTAGTTTACTGACAGTATTGACTTTAGTACACAAGTAATGGTCTGAATCATATACATTTTAACTTTAATTTCTTCTGTAGATCTCAGTTCTCTAGTTTACTGACAGAATTAAAATCGTTTTTTCCACAAAAGTTATTTAAAATTTTTATTTCTACATGTTTCTTCTTCTCCGTAAAGGCTTTATATTGGAAATTGTTGCCAAATTGAGATTTAATTCTTATCATAAATGCTTAGGATGATACAGATTTACTTCATTAAGTTATGTTTATAGTTTCTTTTTACTCTCTTTTTAGATTAAAGAAAGAAGTGTATGGAAATTGATTTAGAATAATGATGGAATACAGTGTTACTTCCTGAATCTTTCAGCTTTTCCAGTGTTTCTTTATCAGTGTTATGCTTTTACTCAAATGTATGTATCGACACAGAGCATAATATAAAAAGATCATAAAATATTTTCTCTTAACCTTTAAATGAAATGGTGCTATTTTTAGGTAGTATGTTGATTACTATAGTGACTGTATCTTCAGTGCCTCCAAAAGTTGTGGTGCAATGTTCAGTTTTTAACAACGAATAAAAAAATCCAGTACATTCAGTTATTTCCAAAAATGAAGGTAGATTCTTTGATGACTTGGATTTGCATTCTCCCTGCCTCCACCAGTTGGAATAGAAAGACTTGATTAAAAGAAGTTCTCTTCTAGCAGTTTACATCTATTTACCCTTTTGGTATTTGCTTGCTCACTCAGGGCTCATTTTCACTAAACATCCGTGACTCTTGCAGATGTATCTGTTTCCAGTTAATGTTCAACATGACTGAAAATCAGGAGCTTTATGTTTACATGCATGTTATAAAACTAGTTGAAATGTAAACCCACTGAAAGTAGACTATGTGCTTCTATTTGATACAGTTCTATTCATAGATTTAGATTTGATGCAGTTCATTATATTGACAGAGGTTAACTATTATATGGAACTGCTTTACTCATATCTTGAAGATTCTTTTCTGTTCACTAGCATTGCTTATGTGCCGGTAACATGGCAGGATGACTCCTTTAGTTAAGAAGCCACATATTAGTTTAGGTCAGGCTTCCTTCTAGAGAGCTAATTAAGCAGAAAATGGTACAAGTCTTGTTGCTTAGACAGTGCTCACGAATAGATTCCAGAGGAGCCGAGATAGACTGTCTCAGGTGCTAGCCAATGGAATTACTCTGACAGCCTCATTGAGCACTGTGATGATACATGACCTTTTTTCCTAGCCAAAGTAGCAGGTCTATCTGGCACAGGCCATAATTCATCTAAGCGATGGCTGAAAGGAAGTAAAGCACATCTTCAGGACAAAATTTTGCTAAGAAAAGCTATAATTGCATCTGGAAAATTGTTGACATTCGTAAGAATTATTATCCGCTGTATAATGCTTTGATTATGATTTATGACTGGGATTATATATAGGCCATTTATTAAGTGTTGCCACTTCCTTAAAGTAGCAGTGGCGCTCCAATTGGCAAGCCTAGTAATCACTTTGTATATAAAAGAGGTTTAACTTGACTATTAACATTTCAATTATGGATTTGATTTTAAATGCATCTAGTTAGTTTGATAAATCCATGTATTTTTACCTGAATTGTACAAAACAGAAACAAAACCAAATTGAAATTCAGAAGTATAATTCACAGAAAAGAATTAAAAAAAACCCATTATTTATAAAAAACTTCGACAAACTTCATTTTGGTTAATGTGTATTTGTGTGTTTAGGTCTTTAATAAAATGATACAATATATTGCAGCAATAAAAACTGTAAAACCAGAGAAGCCTAAATCCTCTCTGGTTTCATGGCTGTAAATCAGAAGGAAGACCACAGAAATCAGTACAGTTTTATAGAAGAGTGTAACTGGTTTAGGTAGGAATTGGCTTTGGTATTTCTTTTAAGTATTTTGAGTAGAGCTTTAGTTCTTTGGGAGAACAGGAAGGATTACTGTTAAAATCATGAATACAGCTTCATTTTTTAACGGCATTATACTAGAGTTTCCACATATTTCTACATCAGTGTCTATATTTCAGAATACATATATCAGTAGAAGGAAGAGTGGATATTGACTATAATTTAATGAAGTAGAAGTTCTCCCTTTCTGGAAGGCTTTTGTTCTGCTTTCTGAAAGGTTTCATTATCATTGCTCACAGTTGTTGGTGGTTCCGATCATGAAGATAAATGTCAGAAACCCAAAGGTTAGTAGGATAATGTGTAGATTTGTTTAAGAATGAAATCAGTTAGATATTATGATGAATTATTTGTGAAGCCAGGCTATGAGGTAGACTTGACAAATGAAATTGGTTGTCCTTCTTACATTAAAATTCACTCTTGCTGAACTCAAGAATGCCATTTAAGACATTGTTGAAAGACTTCACTTATGCATAGTTAAAGATTGAGATGAGGTGAGACAATGCACAGCAAAAAACCACCAGCAATGAATTTTCCTGTTCTGTTAAGGTAAAGACTCTGCTTTTAAGTGAAAGAAGGCGGGGGGGGGGGGGGAGATAGTAAAGGGATGGGGAAGAGAGAGAGAGAAAGTAGAGACTCTGCTTTTAAGTGATCTGTATTAAGTTAAGCTTCCATTGGAGTCAGTAACAGTTTTCTTGAGAAAGAACTGCTGCCAAGTGATGTTCGTGATGTGCTGATGGCTTGTCATTTTTCTGATGTGATGTGTTTTATTCCATGGAGACGTTATAGTATGAATATTATGTATATGTTAAAGCTACATGTACAGTGGCTTTTCACAAATGATTTTGCAGATGACGTTATTTGATAAGTATTAAAAATAGCACAAAGCATTCAGAATCCCTTACAGAAATTTAGGAATTGCTGTAGTAAACGGGACCCAATGATTTATCTTAGACGTTGGTCAGGATTGCCCGTTTCAGAAAAGGAAGAGAAGGGAGTTATAGAATAACATGACTTGCAAGAAGGCTCTTTCTTTATCCCAAGGGGTTATTGGTTCTTTTGAATAAAGAAGGTTTAATTTAATTAATTTTATTTTTCCTAATGTAACTGTGTATCTCATAATCATGATATTCAGAGCCTGTTGTAGGGTGAATTTTGATACACAGGCATGCATTCATAAAGCACCAATTATGGAAAACCTCTAACATAACACAACCCTTCACTTTTTACTGACTACATTTAATTTGGGGTGATTATTTGGAGCTGAAAGATTTTGTATTAAATTATGCTTGTATTGCATTAAATTATACTTGTATTCAATTGCGGTAGAAGAGAAAGTGGGAGGAAGTAGGATCTTTAAACAGAACTTTGTTACACGTTGAGGTTTCCTCTGAAATGACTTTGCCAGTTATTAAGTAAAATTAAGAAACCACACTAAGACAATGTATATTGAATAAAACATGGACATAGGCAATAGTGTAAAAAAAAAAATCAGAAACATTGGAAACATTTGAGTATGAATTTTCCTTTCCTCTTCTTCCTACAGGAAGACCGGGTAGTGAACCATTTGGCAGCAAAGATCATTGAAAATGTTTGTACTACTCTCTCTTGCCATGCACAAGGATTTATTACAGGAGAAATCGGACCTGTCTTGTGGTACCTTTTCACACATTCTACAGTAGATTCTTTGAAGATAACTGCTGTTTCGGTAAGAAATTTCCTTTTGTGATACAGAAATGTTTTGGGTTTTATTTTGAAAAGTATTTTGTATTGAAACTGGAACTTTTTTGAGCATGTTTTCTGTGTGCATGTGTACTTATATTTCATATTACATTAAAATATATTTACAATTTTTCTAAAATTAAAAAGGGCACATATTGCAGTCCAGTGCTTATGTTGTTTGAATATGTTTTCCTTGCTGTTAGTCAGTGTAAGAATAGACCAATATAATCCACTTAAAATGCCTAAAAGCCAGTTCAGGGAGATGTGTAAATGCTAGTTGGCTTGCAGCATTTTGCTATCATATTTTTATTGCTCTTTATGGTAGTATTTTATGGAGAGTTCTCTGCCCTCATTTATGTTGTTCTACCTTCACTGATATAACTTGTACTTGAAATCTGATATATTGACCCATGTTGAAAACAAATATAAGAAAAGCCCTTGCGAGTCATCATTTTCTTGACCATGTGTTTTCTTATACTGATGATCATGAATCACATTTGAAAAGCTTAATCCTTCAAGGAATCCACTGAATTCTTGAAAAATGGAAATTTCTTTTTTGTATGATGTTTTACATTAAAAGTGTTCTTTTTATCACAGACCTGCTTAGAAGACATACTTGAAATCATGATATTACTCTCTGTAAAATTGTCAGGGCTAGTCTTTGCCCTGAATTTTTAAGTTAATAATGGATGATAGTAAGACAAACAGAGCTATGACATGCAAACAAAACATTGGAACAAAAAGATTTGAGGTCAAAAATACTTAGCAGGGCTGTGAGTTTAACCATCTTTCTTGTTGACAAAATAAAAGCCTTACCCACCAATACAGATAATATTTTAGAAATGAGGTGTAAGTTGACTTGTTAAATGAAATGTGATAACTGGATGCTGATTTGCTGAGTAGAGCTCAGGCTCACTAATGAGTTTTCTGTTGGCTTCCTGGATGGAAAATAGTAATGCTGCTGCTGCACCAGTATGCACTTAGACACATCTAGCATTGAGGTAATAAGAGAGAGAATTAAAAATATACCTGAAGTATGTCTGAAGAGGTAAAGGGTAGAATACATTTATGATTTTTACAAATATATGTATGTATTTAACACTTACCTCAGTGTGTATTTGTGGAAGATTCTTGCCTGGGAAGTAAACTGCTCAAATACTGGGAAAATGTGTTGACCTTTTAGAACAGTAAACTTATTTAGTAAAATACATGTTACAGAAGTCTTTGTTCTGTGTCACCAGAAATTCTTTGTAAAAACTTGGTCTTAGGACTTTATGGGTAGAGGTTTGTCAGTTTCTAAAAATGTTAAAATGTATGTGTAACCTTTATACAGAACATTTATTGCTTAAACCTGCTTGTGAGTCTTGCTGTTATGTTGCTTTTTCAGAAGGGCTCTTTTTGAGGCTTCACCCATTTGATCTGTGCATTTTATGCTTACGTCATGACTGTACATATGGTAAAAGACTGGATATTAGAGTTATGATTTCCTTATTGAGTATTTAAACAAGTCTGCTCAGTGCTCTCTCATACTGCTCCTTTTGCCATAAGGTCTGTTCGATGTCTTGTGCTTTCAGTTCTTGTCAGTCTTTAGGCTAGGCAGTTGTTTGCTACTAGGTCATAGCTTTTTGTTTTTTTTTCATCTCTTTCAACTTGTCCTGAAGTTTTCCTCCTGTCTCTCTGCTCTCCATTTGGACAACTTTGCTTCAGCATTTACTGTTCCTTTGATTTCAGACTTCCAGAGCTGCTCCTCTTGTAGGGGCCAGTTGGACAGTTATGCCTGTTCTGAACTACATTCAGACACTGAGCTAAGAAAGATCACCAGAGGAAATGTCAGTGGGCTGGGGGTTTTTTTGGGTTTTTTTGGTGTTTTTTTTTTTGTTTCCCCTCTTGAAAAGGCAATTTCTTTTTGGACAAGATAGTATGCTTGAGGTAGGCAAGAGCTTTTTTCTGCTCAGTAAGATGCAGAAGTTATATTTCTCAATCTCAAGAAGACACTTGTCACCAGCACAGACTCATTATGGCTTTTTGTAGCAGTGGGCTCAGAGATCAGTATCAACAGTGCCATATGGTTTGCATACTTTGCCCCCAGATGAGGTTTCTTGTGACTATGAGAAAAGAGGGTTGTTGTTTGTCCTTCCCTATGCGCAGCCTCATCAGAGATGAACCACTGAGAAATATTTTCTTTGTCATAGTATTTATGCTGTGGGTATCTAGCCTCTCTGAAATACTACTGGAGTCACCTTTTTTCCATAGCATTTGATGAGAAGAAAATCTTCATGCATCTTACCTGGAAAGTAGGAGAAATGTTTAAGAGGAAGTTAAAACCTGAAGTGTTTATTGTAGCCTAGCTTACTACCTACCCTTTTTTTTTTGTGTGTCTCCATTGACAGCTGCCACTACTTCCTAGTCAATGTGGCTTTTTTAATTGCCCTAGTTCAGCAGAACAGTGCTGGCATTTGTGTGTTCTCTTCCAAGTGAGGAGGTTGAAAGTATCATAGATTTTGAACTGCTCAGTTCCTTCACGTCTTGTCACTGCAGCTGTGATACAGCAACCTGATCTCTATGGGCTTCTTGCTCAACCAGTGACGTTAAATGCAATGGCATGCGTGGTAAGTTACCGTATTTATACTGTAGTTCAAAATGGAATCATCTGACACTCCTGGGTTAGCGCTTGTAAGATATGCAATGATATTGTTCTTACCAAGCTCTTATGTCCTGACTTTCTTCCCCTGCACCTTATAGTGCAAATTCAGAAACTTAGTTGTCAAAGCTTATCAGTCCTCAAGAACTACTCTAGAAGCCCTCTTACAGATGGCATACGTTAGGACAAAGCAGTGTTTTTCAGGAAGTCACGATAGCTACTATTAACAAGGATTCCCTAGAGAAATTAACCTGATTTGTGGGACAACCTTTCAATGGCAGTTGTTAATTCAAGTAAGAATGATGCATTTTTATTATTCTATTAACTTTTCTCTGTGAACGTTCCTTAGCAATCCATGCTTTAGTGTCCAGGCCAGCATTTTAAAGAGATGACCAAGTTGTGTGTGCACACTGAGTTCTGCTGAGGCAAAAATTGCTTCATCGTCTTGTGCAAATATGTGGTATAAATGTACATATGGACTATATAAGAAAAATAAAAAACTGTTCCCAAGTAACTTTTTTTTTTCATGTGAAGGCAGTACGCTTACTGCAGTTTATACCTTTCCCTTGAGTAGTTGCTGAGGTTGTAATCATGCTGGAGGTAGGATTTGCTCCAGACTAATATATTGGAGAGCTTTGAGTAAAAGCAACAGTGAGAGGGACTGCAGGAGTAAGAGACATTCATTCTTCTACATCCTTGGTCCAACTGCTGTGTTTCTTGTTTTTCTGGTTTTCATGGAAATTATTGCTATTCATGTAGCCAATTCCGTATCCTTCTTCCAGACAGATCATTTCACATGAGTGTGCGTGGGTCTGAACATGCTCCTGGATTTTCCCCCTGTTTTGGAGATTTTGTTGTTTATCAAAAGACTGAGGTTTAATTGTTTTATACCACACATGAAGTGAATTGGACAAATAACCTTCTAAAGTAGGATACACTAAAGTGGTATGCTAATCCTTTTGCTGCTTCGTAGTGAAACACTAAAGGAACAACAGGGTGAACTTCTTTATCGATTTATAACTCAATGCCTGATAAAAATCACGGTTATGTATTAATACTGCTGGGATATTTGGGTATATAATCTTAACTTTAGAAAAAAACAACTAATCAATATTGAAATCTAGCACAGGCAGATCTTTTACTAACTGAAGTTTATAGAGATTTAAGTATCATACTGATTTTTTAAGTAAAGCATTTTTATTCTGCATGACCACATAAATTGACATCATCAGTGTCCTATCATATTTTGTTATGCAGTCTTTCCTGCATTGTTTGGATATATCCTGAAGAATTTATTCTTGACTGACATCTATATTCACATGTGAAACCACATTTCTGCTAAGAAATACATGTGTCATGTCTTTACCTAGAGCGAGCAGGCTGTCTGAAAAGTGTATCAGCAGTAAGGCGCTATGGAATTTTACTTATGATTATTTCAATCAATAATAAAAATGTATCAAGAAGATTCTCTGTCTTCAGTCTCTGGAGTCAAGAAATGACACTTTACCTTGTCCTGCCTGTCAGAGGTGGCAAATGGGGACTGTCTCTCAGTATTTTTGCTCACTTTGGAGTCCAATATGCCTCAGGTAAATATCACAGATTTTGCCTGTAGGAAAGCTGTATCTTTTTATCATTTTGCTAGACTCAGAGAAGAAATAATTCTCTAAGATGTCAAAGTGACATTCTGACAAGTTCAGCAGCAGGAAGAATATTTTCTTTCCAGTATACTGAAAGTTTTTAAACGTTTTTTTTTTAAATAATGTTTTAGTTTCATTTCTAAGAGATGGCTTTTTCTGTTGGAGGAGGAGTAACAAAACATAAGCCACTTAAGTGGAAACTACTTTGGGAAAGCGTAACACAGTCTTTTGGTGCTTTGAGTTTTTTGTTTGGGTTTTTTTTTCTAAAGTAATTGGTGCTGAATAGTTTCTGTCAGAGTCTTGGGTATTGCAGATAGATTAATGCATTCATTCTCCAAGTTGAGAGAGTCATGGAGTACATCCTGAAAGGGAATTACCCAGCCACCATATGACATGTAAGACCAGAAGGCAATGGATGGGGCATAGAATATCTCAGGTTGGAAGGGACCAGTAAGGATCATGATGCTAGGGTTGGAACTGCTAGGAGAAGAGCTGCTGGTTAAGGCTGTGCAGAGAGCAAGGACATTGCGGAGCAGTCTGTTCCAGGAGAGGCTCTACCAATGCCTTCCTCTCACTGGCATGATTTCCTGTTCCAAGACTGCTGCTGAGAGATGATGATGTGAGCTCTACTCTCATCATAGGTTCCCAATCCCTACTTTAGCACCTTTTGACCTGTCTCCATCTGTTCTTTCCAGATACTGGATCTACTCAAGTGATTTAGGATATTTTGTCTCCTATCCTCCATTAAACTCTTATCTTCTGCTTTTCTGCTGAAGTGTTGGTTTCATTCATACATACAGCAGTGCTCTGTGATATACAAGCTAATGGGAGTTTAAAGCTTCTCTCCATGGCTGTTGGCCGGCTGGAGCTTTCCCACTGTCTCCAAAACTGCACTATGATCCTAGAAGACAGCCATGTCTTATGAGATTTACCTGGAAGTCATCTGATGGCCTGTGGCTATGGTCACCCTTGTTTGATGAGGTCTGTAGCAGAGAGCTAAGACTTTGGCAAGTCTGCATACACCACATTAGCACACCAAGTTAGCTCCATGTTGCTCTGACAGTCTGTCCCTAGGTCCTAACAGTTCACTGGTAATAAGACCCTAGAGGATATGTTTAGTGAATGCGTATACCTCCTGCCCACTCATTTTGAGAACTTAGAGTAGAGGTGAAGGGCTGAATTGTATCCTGGGGAAAACAGAGCACGCTGTACAAAAAAACTGAGATTGAGTGCCTGTGTTTTAAAAGGGCGGAGAGGGAGGGAGGGAGCGAGAAAAATAAAAGGCTGCTATCGAGATGGTTACTGGACTAGAAAGGACAAGGAAGAGCAGGAGTTGAGTAGATGAACGGCATCAGTACAATGCCTGTTTAAAAATTAAAAGTTCTTGGTTTATTGTCTTTTGTGCCTTTTTTTTTTTTGGTTCATGTGTGTTGAGTGATGTTTCTAAGGGCACTGGTGAACTGAGCAGTTTGTAAGGTTGTTACATGGAAAGCGTTTCCCTGATGATATTCTTCTCTGGGTGTAATGGACTTAAATGGTCTCTTAAATGAGAGCTCGCTATTGAACGCACACAAAGTAACCAGCAATTTCTAAATATAGCTGATCTGAAGAGAATAAAGAAGTGATAAAATCTACTTCTCACAAAGAAAGTTGCCTTCAAAGTTTCTCCTTAAAACCAATTCAGATTTTCACGTGAATCCAAATATTAGCATAATCTGTTTTCCTGTTTTAACACTACATTCAAGCAAAAGAAAATGAAATTTTAAATGTCCAAAGAGTCTTATTTTCTTATCTGGAGAGAAAAAGGCAGTTACAGTATCTTGCGTGTTGCATTTTCAGAGGTATCAGAAGGAAAAGGTGTGTTGGCTTGGCGATTAATCCACCCTGGAGTTCATTTAGTGATGTTTCTTATGAAATAGCTAAGTTAGTATACACTGAACATATTTGTGCTCACTTCACTAGAGTACAGTCAGTATCTGCATTTTCAGTTAGAATTGTTTTAATCACTGATATTTGCAAATCAACCATTTGGAAGATAGTTTGCATGTTTACTATACTAAACACTGTTCCTTAACATGTGTCTAGATCTAAAGTAGTTGAACTGAGGCAAGCTGCAACCTGGTTTTGCATGGAGTTTATATAGCCAACTACTAGATTTCAGATTATGGTCCATAAGTAGAGAGAGAGTAGAAAGATGCCCGCCTTTATAGGTCACCAGAATTTCTGTGGTGTGTGCCATGTCTGTATTGTCTGCTGCCTGTGCTCCTTTCTGGTGCAGTGTTATCTGATGCTACCTACATAATGTGCTGATAAAAGACTCAAGCATGGACTATGCTGCTCCATCATTATTGTCTTCTAGAGGGAAAGCGTAATGTTACTCTGATGTTAATATTGTTGTACCAAAGATTTAGTTTCAGGTGCATGGGGTGTATAGCAATACATGTAGAAGAATTTCAGATCTCTAAAAATAAGTAGCCTTTTCCCCTAATATTTGTCGTATGAATGAAACTGTATGAATTCTCTATTTTCCTATTCAGTTGGAAAAATCACCACGTGTTTTTATCTTCCATTATTTTTCTTGAGATAATGATCCCATTAAATAGCAAAGATTTTGTTTTATTTTTTAGGCTTTATGCAGAATTACTCGTTACTCACCCAATGCTTTCCAGAGTGTCATTGAAAAAGTGGGATTAACAGCTGTACTAAATTCCTTGGCCAATGGAATATGCAAAATTCAGCAGTACATGCTCACCATGTTTTCAGCAATGTTGTCATGTGGGATTCATCTACAGAGGCTGATTCAAGAAAAGGTTTGAGTTCAGATTAATATTATTCACTAGCATGAAATTTCACAAATGGAAAGCTAACGTTGGCTCTGGTAGTGTTTTTGTGTTTTCAAAATGCTTAACTCAGTGACACGTATGTGTGTGAATAGCAGGAAATGAGGAACACATCTCTCCGTTTTCTCAGAACTAGGAAATGCAGATTTAACATCTTATTAGAGAAAAACATTTTAAAGGCTCAATAATGTCCTCCAGAAATTACTACTTCTTGAAAATAACTTTATGTAACTGAGATTATATATGTGTTTATTTTCTATTTTTATTTGCTTAAAATGTAAATAACGAGGTGTATAGTTTTTCGTTCTCTCTCACAGATCTTCAAGAGCTGGTACTAATGGGTATATAGATTGCTACTGCAGCTAGAATTCAATCAATTCAAAAAAACTCTAGCCTGACCATAACTGATAATGGTCCTGAGGAAAAACAATAAGGAATGCATGTGGACAACTATTTGATGTAGCTCTCTTAGACATATAAAAGAGAAAATAATGAGTGTCCTGATTGAATCTAAAGCTGTACTTTATTCTGTCCTTAAAGGACCTTAGGCCAATTTGTAAGTGTAATGTTTTGCAGAAATCAGCATTTTAATAACTTATGGTTTTCTTTTTAGTGTCACTGAATAAAACTACTGGGTCTGATTTATGCCTGATACAATTTTTGGAAAAGATGATTAAATGCTTTCTCTTTTGATCACCATATTATTCTGTGTTTAGAGCAATAGTGTTTATTTTTTTTGGAAGTAAGTCTGCACAATTCATAAAGATAAGTAATCCCCCTCTGCTTGGAAAGAATAAAAATCACAAAGGAAATAGGAACTCTAGCTTGTGTCTTCATCAGATAGCATGTTGTAACATGTTAACTGACAGTCATCTTGACTGTAACAATCTATTAGACTTTAGTTGAGAGAGATTGATTTGGTTTCTATACACATTTTTTTAACAACAGTGTTTAAATTAAAAAAAAATCTATTCTTGTCCACTCATCTCTTCCTGCAGCCTGAAATCACTCATTCTCTTCCTAAAAGTAATTCTGTGCCTTGTCAGAACTGCCAACGTGTTCTTTGTAAACATGCTAGCTGGCCTTATGATTTCCGTAGATTCCACTACAACAGCACTAGCAGGTGGCAAACTGTCCCATAATGTCACAGCTTTTTTCTAATAGTGTACATTACTGCAAGTTGGTGATACAGTCCGAGCAGTATGGTCAAAATATATTCACTTGAACATTCAGAGAAAGAATGCAGTGCGTAACAAGCATATGGCTACAGCATGATGTTTTCTGTGAAGAATTTCTTGTTTATATACAACTTATGTTGCTGAAAGGGCTCCCCTTCTGATATTGCAGTTCTTATGAACTATTTTAATCTGATTTTTTGACTTTATAAAAATAATCAGTTCTGAAATTCTTCAGCAAGTTACAGGAAAATATCAAGTATTTTGTTGGCATACTGTACAGTAATAGCTGAAACTTTGTGGGTTCAAAATTGCTGCTTAATTATTAATGAATTGTCATAGGTGTTTGTGAACAAGTATTTCAATTTTACAGATTAGAAAATTGAAATATAGATGTTCTTTTAACAGCATATATCAAACTAATGACAGAAAAGGGAATAGTACCCAAAGCTGTAACTGAAAAACACTGTGCTTTAAAAACTGGATTATGAAATGCTGGTAAAGGGAAGCTCTAGCTCTACTGCATGGGCCCACATTTGGTAACTTCATCTGCTTTACAGCTTAGATAAATTTATGTCTTATAGAATGTCTATTTTGCTCAAATTAGATTGTAGGATTTAGGAAGCAGAAAACAGATTTCTATTTTTCTCGACTAGGATCTGAAAATATAATCCTGCTCCTGAATTGGACTCTCAGGTACTATCACATCCATGCACTTCCGAATATTCCATGAGCATGACACACAAGTCCACCTTAATGAGAGAAGGGAAAAGAAAAAACAAATGGGTAGCGTTGGCCTACAACGTTTTTTGCTTTCTGTGGAATTCTTGTATGCTATAGCTTAAGAGGCAGAAGGAGCTCAGTGTTATAGAGAAGGTGATGACAAGGTTGTGACTATTTTTTTTAATACAGCTGCAGACCAACGTATTATAAGATGCTTAAAGATATGAATTTAAGATGGAGATAATTTAGCTTTGTGTATGTTATCTGGATACTCCTTTAGCTTACAAGGCTTAAGGCTGCCCTTGTTTTCTACTCCCTTCAAGAACAGCGATAAAACCAGTTACAAAATAAGAGCCAGAAGACAAAGGAGAAATATAGTTCTGTGCTCATCTACTCTAGTATAAATTTTCAGAGAACTACGATAACTAAAAGGGACTGTTTTTTGTCCCTCTCTGATACAGAGCCTTTCTATTTTAGTTTATTGTCTTGGGAACAAAAAAAGCTAAAATTATATTTTTAAAATAAACTGTGGAAAAAGAACTGAAAATCAAAAACCTTTGATACAGTATAGCAGTAGGTAAAAAAACATTGCTAATTGCTTTAACCTGGCTGTCAAGATTCACCTTTGAAGGAGTGAAAACCAGTCATATAACTTCTTGAATGCAGTTAGGTTCTTCCAGAGGTCAGATAAAGGAGTGGTTTGTGCGGTTTTTTGTTTGCTTTTCCTCAAGTACTAATAAGTAAAATTATTCAGATTTTAACTTAAGAAAAAGAGTGCTCCTAGTTTTTTTCTCAGTCATCTGTGAGTGTTTTTTTCTCTTTTCTTCGGTTGCAAGGGTTGGTTGTGATTCTGTTTTCCACTTGCTCATTGGGTGGAATCTGTATTTTGTGACATCTTGATAATTCTGCACAGACTCCACCACTCCTGATTGATTGACTTCTGCTGCAAAGTCACCAGCCTGCATGTTGAGCCCACTCATGTGGCCAGCAGATTTCAGGCGCTACTGAAATCAATAGGCAGGAACTGGCTACCCTCTGTGTTTTTGTGGTCATCCTTGGGTGTGGATACCGATTGATTCTAGTCACCCCTTCTGTAAATCACACCCTCGTAACTCAGTAATATGAGTCCTCCAGATCAGGGTGTCTCTTACACCAGACTCTCTTGGACTGGTCTTCAGGACATGAAATAATGAAAGCTAACAGACATGGCTTTGCAAAAGGATTTCTAACTCTGAATTATTTTTTATTGCTGTCTTCTATATTTTTTAAATTCTGTCACCAGAAAGAATCTCAGAACTTGATGTTTGTTTCCATACCAAACCCACAGCCATAGTTACAGCAATACATTGTCACAATTGCATTGTTTTTTCGCTTCCCTGCACTGTTGGCCATAGTCTATTTTTATCTCAGTCATACTGAATTATGGCACTGAAAAAGGCATTATAAATGTGTTATAAATGTTGCCCTCATATTTCAGTCTTTTATCTGACTGTGGACAGATGGCTACCTCGGATGTTGATGCTTTTGTCAGTATCAGTATGAATTAACAAAAAGATACAAAGATTTTGTTTAGGACACTTAAAAACTCTTAACTTGTAACATTATGGAGGCATTTGCAATGCATAGAAAGGAAATATGAAAGTACACAACAATATAACAAATTATTGCTATAGCAACTTCAGTTCTTGTATAGTGAAATAGTGGTCTAACTGTTCTCCCCTTGTGTAGCCAAATAAAAAACATTATGGCTTTTTAAGATTTGTTTTAAACTTGCTTTGCAGTATTACTAAGAGTATCCAGTATAAAATCATGATCTTGTCGCACTCAGCAGTGCGTTCCCTTGCAATGAAAAGAGTGTCCTTGCCCTGAAGAGTCTCCATGGATACATCAAACAGTTGCAGGGAAGGAAAGTACAATATAACAATGAAACAATTAATAATTAATGTGTTAGTATTTCAGCAATTTTTGGCTTTCTGATATATTGAGTTCTGCAGGACAGCAAAGATGTGCTTCAGATTATCTTTAGATAAACTGTTGCTGTTTTCCAGTCCTCAGACCAGACAGAAAAGCAACTTCCAAAATGTCTCATTTATTTCTTAAGCCAGATTATTAGAACATTCCCAGATAAATCTGACGCAACTGATTATAATTGACAGTGTTGTCTTAACCCATGATAACCCCCAAATATGACACTGAAATATTCTTGCTTTCCAGAGCACGAGGACTAAAAATAGTCAGATATGTGTTGGCTTGTAGTTGCCTGTGTCTTTGTGACAGTGTCTCTGTGCCTGGTCTATCAAGTCCATTTGTGTTAGCAGGCAGTGTTGCATTATATATACTCTTGCACTAAGTCTGAGGCTTTACAGGGTTTCTTAAAAACATTCTGGTTGTTTTGAGTAATTAATAAAAAACCCTAAACCCCCACAACCCCCCACCTTTATTAAAATTTCAACCTTTGCTCTTAATAGATAGTAATTTAAGAACTTTACTGCTGCAGGTTCATTCTGGAGGAGCTACAAGTCATGCTGCATGAGCTGTTGAAGTGTTTAAAGCACTAAAATTACACAGTTTATGCTTATTAACCACATCTTCTGTTTATGAAGTAAATTACAGCAGTATAACAAAGCAGTTCTAGAATAATTAATAACAGTTTGTTTTTCTGGGATTTCTATAGTTACTGTCTATGCTGACTGGTTTTGAAGACAATGTTAAAATGGTATCAGAGTAAAATCTGATGGTTTGTTGGCCAACTCTTACACTCTTGTTCTTTTTCCAGTCTCTGTAAAGAGGTAAAATTAATTGTTGTAAAGAGCGTCTCTAATAAATTACATTCAGTGTTGATTTTCAGTTTTATGACAATGAAGTTGCCTTTCAGTTATTCTGTCAGCTAAAGAGGGAAATTGAATAATACTTTGTATATTAAATGTGCGTCACACAGTAGGATTTTAGACTTTGTACACAGCATGCAGCCATGCACTAGGCACCTCTTCATTCTGTAGTGTCATTCCCTTGAGAATCCAGCTCAAATGTTTGAAGGTGGTTTCTATTGATGAGGCCATTTGTGCTCAGTCTAATTCTTGGGTAGAGCCAACTGACTCAGTTTGCAAATTCTAGCTCAGTTGTTAATTCTGGATGTGGGGGTTTTTTTTGAGAGAGATTGTGTTTTCAGAATAAGTCATTCTGATCAACAGCTTATCCACAAATACCATTCCTGATAATCTTTGAAGATGGATTTTTTCATTTTTAAGGGTTTATTTTTAATATTATTAAAATAAAATCATTTTAATATTTTTATTAATATCTCAATTGGTCTTCATAGAAGAAGACTACAGATCAGTAGCAGATATTTTTATTCCTCAGAGATAGAGGATACTACATATGGGGTTTTTTTGTCTTTATTTTCTTTTTTGTCCTTTGGTTCTTCAGGAGTTGCAACATTTCTTTGGACAGAGTATAAATGATCCTCATCTTATGCATTTTACAACTCATAATACTTAATTCTGTTATTCATGTTAGGGGACATAGTATATTAGATAGTGTTCATTTGTTGCAGCTCTTGAGAACTCGAGAAGATGTACAAAGCAGTTTTGCACTGGGCCAGTCTGTCTTGGGCAGGTTTTATTTAGTAGTGTTTTACAGATTTTTTTTTATTATTATTATGAGTGACATGAAAATGGGGACCTTATCAATGTCTATAAATATCTGAAGGGTGTCTGTGAGGAGGATGGAGCCAGTCTCTTTTCAGTAGTGCCCAGTGACAGGACGAGGGGCAATGGGCATAAACTGCAGCACAGGAAGTTCCACCTCAACATGAGGAAAAACTGCTTTACTGTGAGGGTGACAGAGCACTGGAACAGGCTGCCCAGAGAGGTTGTGGAGCCTCCTTCTCTGGAGACCTTCAAAACCCGACTGGACGTGTTCCTGTGCAACCTGCCCTAGGTCATCCTGCCTTGGCAGGGGGCTTGGACCAGATGATCTTCAGAGGTCCCTTCCAACCTCATTCTGTGATTCTGTGAAAAGGACCTTACTAATACAGAATGCACAGGAAAATGAGCAAATTTTAAATGTATACTGTGTTAAAATACAGTGCAAGTAACCTCTTTCCATAAAATAATATTAATGTATTTGTGTTTATTTCCACCAAGGATTTTGTGACTACAATTACTCGTTTACTTGAAAGTCCTTCAACTTTTATTCGAGCAAAAGCCTTTTTGGTCCTGCTACAAGTTTTAATTAATAACAGGGAGATGTTGCTACTCAGTTGTCAAGCAAGGTAAGGTGATAATGGAAAATAATTAGAGATGTAATACTTATTTTCAAAGTTGTATCTGAAATACTTTAAAATGTGTGGTATTTCTGAGCCAGTGTTTTAGGAGTGAACTATTTTCTGTCTAATGTGAATCCTTTTAATCATGAGACTATCAAGAAAAGAGTGTTTTCTTTTGCCTGGGGTCATCAGGTGATGATTACTTACAAGGGGAAACCACCGTCTCACAGGGAGAGTCTATCTTTTAAAGTAACTTGTGGTCCCAGTGAGTATTAGCAGATTTTGCTTTGGGTAGCGCAGAACAAATACTGCAACAGTGAGTTGTCGCTATGAGGGGAAAGCAAAATAAAAAGATCTGTCATGTACTTTGCTCAGTGTCGTGGTTTAGCCCCAGCCAGCAACTAAGCACAACGCAGCCACTCACTCACTCCCCCACGGTGGGACGGGGGAGAGAATCGGAAGAATAAAAGTGAGAAAACTCATGGTTTGAGATGAAGACAGTTTAATAGGTAAAGCAAAAGCCGCGCATGCAAGCAAAGCAAAACAAGGAATTCATTCTCTACTCCCCATGGGCAGGCAGGTGTTCAGCCATCTCCAGGGAAGCAGGGCTCCATCACACGTAATGGTTTTTTAGGAAGAAAGACGCCATAACTCTGAACTTCCCTGCACCCCTTCCTTCTTCTTTGTCCTAACTTTGTATACTGAGCATGACATCATATGGTATGGAATATCTCTTTGGCCAGCCTGGGTCAGCTGTCCTGGCTGCGTCCCCTCCCAGCTTCCTGGGCACCCCCAGCCTTCTCGCTAGCAGGCCAGCACGAGAAGCTGGACTGTCCTTGACTGCATAGCAACAACTCAAAACATCAGCACATTATGAACATTTTTTCATCCCAAATCCAAAACATAGCCTCACACTAGCTTCTATGAAGAAAATTGACTCTATCGCAGCTGAAACCAGGACACTCGTTTTGGGATGCGGTATAATCCATAGTCTTTTCAGTATAGACATCCTCAAGGTAAAATAATATTTCTTGGCTATATGTGTTGTTGGAGTGATTTATATAATGACTACTTAATTTCTGTGACTTTTACATGAAATATTTTATTTGTTTCTACGTTTTAAAATATTTGGCAAGAAATGACTTCTCTAAAATTATATTTGACTCACAGTGGAAGAGTTATTTAAATTTTTGTGTCTTCTGATGGCACAAAAATATTCCCATACCAGACAAGAGGAAATACTAGGCTTTGTTAGAATGTAAATTGTCACCATGTTTTGAGGGTGATTGGAGAAGTTAGATGGCAGAAATTTTATTTGAGATTTATATCTTCTACTGATCATTATGAAGAACAGCAAAATGTAGTGTAAATCCATTTTTTTTCCCGTATTGGAATAATACGTTGGTGTGGAACTCAAAGTAAAAAAGGATGAGGCTTGTGGGTAGCTGTAAATCTAACTACATTTACAGCATATATAACTCTATATCTGATATTGATGCTTGAGAATTAAGATATATACATTGGAGCTAAAGGGCTGGATTGGAAGGAGCAGGTGAGTTATCCCATGAAGCCCTTGTGAGAGGACATCTTGTGGGGTGCTGCCATTGCACACCCATCCACTCACATACAAATCTGTAGATGTCCCAATTTTTGTAGATCATGGAAGTACTGAATCCAAGTTTCATTTTTATGTGCATCTTCTTATAGTACCAGAAATGTTTCATCAGGAGATGTGTTCTGGTTAGTGTAAAATGTCTCTTGTAAGTAAGACTTGTAAGTGACTTCTTGAATGGTTAAATTTTTAATGACTGCTGCTATTCATATGCTTGTTATAGCACATAGGCCTGAGCTATGTGTTTGGATAAATGTCTGACAGAAGTCCTGTACTAAGAGTTACTATTTGTTTATTTATACCTAAGGTATTATGTGAAGGAGAAGAACTCAATAATTTTTACGAACAATTTGATCTCTTTGTTTATAATGCTTTCTAATGAGCAGCCTTTCTGAAGAGAATGTGTTGGTAATTTGGGATGTTATTTTGTATTGTGAATTTTGGCTTTATCCTGCTGTTGTATTGTGATGCTCCAGACAGCGCTGATTAGGGGACAATACATAGTATAACATATTAGGTAAAACAATAGGCAAGACTTATAGCAGTTTTATTGTATCAATAAACTGTTTTTCTTAATTTGTTCTTCAGTGTACAGTATATCTCCTGACAGGATAAATCATCTAGACTAAGACCTTTCTCTTACATCCAGAAAGTAAGATGGCTACAGTAGGGTGAGAGAAGAGAAATGACCCAATATATGTGGAAACAATTACTTTCGTAATATCCTGAACTCTGGAAGAATTTTATTAAGCCCAGTAGAGATAATGGATATTCTTTGACTTAAACTGTTGAAATCCTATTGGTATATTTTAGTTAAATGTCTACAGTTCTATGACGGAACAGTTACTTCAAAATTAAGACTAATAAATTCAAAATTGCTAGTACAGTAAGCAGTAATCAGTCAGATAACTATTGAAAATGTTTTATATACTCAAATCCTCTTTATGAGGGTGTTTGATTTGAGAAATATAAAGAGTATGTAATAAAATGTGTGTAATTTCTACTTACTGGTTTATCTTTAGCAGTTGCAGCTAATGCCTGTAGCAGGATTTATATTGCTTTAGATTATAAAATCTGTTTATGATAATATAAGGCAATTTTTCAGTGTGTATCAGTTAAAGGATATTATGCAGGTGATAAAACAATCAGGAATAACTGTTTCATGGTAACACTGCATATATCTCTACAGCTTCAAGTTAAATGTTGTTCAGTTTGTCATTAGAAAAAGCTTTTGTTTAGTTTAACAATCAAAATTATACATACCTTTGCAGATATTTTTGTGATTTAAAAAACCAAAACAAACAAAACCCAACCAAAACCAACCCAAATTCTCTGAATCTGTTGTAGTGTGTTTTTAAATTATGAAATTATTTGTGGTGAGAGTGTGTAATTCAAGAGCTTGACAAGGGATGTCACCAAGGAAATTCCACTAGGACTTTCCAGACTACTTCGAGATTTTGAGATCTGTGAATGAAAAACATGTATACCTAATATCAAAAGTAATTTTGAAGTGAATTTTTTTCTCACACAACATTGATACAATTCACCTGTTGTCCTTTTTTCTACCTCTTTCATGGTGGTCCCTTACATACCTTTTCATTTTCCATATTTCTTAGCCAGTGATAGAGCTAGAGAAGACAAGAGACCTTTTAGGCTGAAATAGTACTTGTTTGCTTACAATATGCAAATTAAATTCTTTTGCTAATCACCCGGAGTTTTCTAGTCTCCTTGTTTTCGCCATGATTTGCAAAGGCAGGCTACCTGTTAATGAGAGGAGGGATACAATCTGAAGTTTTATTAAGACTTATAATTTCACCCTTTTCTGAACTAGTAGTAATTTCCAGTTAGTCTCACTGAATTGTTCTTTCCGGATCTAAATGGTTTCAGCGAATTTCCTAGGTGAACGGAGACTGCCCTGGAGATTGAACTTCCTCCCTAAAGAATTTATTTAAACCTCTTTTTCTACTATTTGCAGAGATGGACACTTGTGGAGAGGTATGGTAGTATTATTCCTAACAGCCTTTCACAGTCTGCAAAAGCCTAACTGTGCACAAAAGCATAACTTTTTAGCAAAATCTTTCTCTGTTATCTGTCTCCACCTCCCTTTTTTTTTTTTTAATTATCGGATATTGTATATGCCCTCGAACAAAAACTTTACTTGGAGACTTATTTACAATTACACAGCTAGCATAGCCTGTTGGCCTTTTTCTGTCTATGGTTAGCCCAGAAAAATAGTGAAAAAGCTAACAGAAAACTTTGGTGCTCAGTCAAATGGGAAAGCATGGAAATGGAAGGCAGGATGCAACAATTACAATCAGTGATTTCAGGAAAAAAAAGCAGCAAGCTGGTATAAAAAAAAAAGTGTAGAAGGGAGATAGTGATTGACTCTTCTTACTAACGTGATCTGCCATCCAGTGTTGCATCTCTGCAAAATAAACAATATATCTATATTAATTCTTTAAAAATGTTCATCCTTTTCTGTTAGCAGATTTTGACTAAAAATGGGTCCTTGAATTGTCAGGGTAAATGGACTCTCTATGTCCTCCGAGCATGGAAGACATTCTTTTATTTCTTGGAGGTCTGTCATTCTCTGTGAACTGAGGGGAGAAGCAAGGAGAGACCTCCTGCTTTTAGGTTCAGTTATCTGGTGGCCACATGCATTTTTCCCTCTGTTGAGATGCTGGTAAAGTTGTAGATAAACCTTTCTGGTATCTAAAGCTGACATTAAGGATGTTAGGTGTAAATATACTGATAGAAGGGGATGAATGAATTTTAGAAAACAGTGCTTAAAGAGACCTTGAGAGGTTGCAGAATTTACCCTTCTGTTCCAGGTCAAGGTCTGTTATGCTTGAGAAATATTTTTTTAACAATTGATGGAATTTGGTGGGTATTCCATGACCTCCCTTTGCCAGCTGTACTAATTTTTAGCTGTTTCTAACATTCAAAAATTCTTGTTGTTTTCTCATTGAAATTTCAGTTCTACAGGTTAAACACAGAAAACAGTGTAGTCGCTTTCCTTTTGTCTCTGCTTCAGTCTTCTGAATTTTGACTAAACCTTCTCTTTTTCATGTTGATCATCTTTATAAGTGAATAGTTTTTATTGTTTTTACGTAGTAGACCTCAGTCCTATTCCTGTTAGTCAGGACTGTTAACTCGCTGCAGTTCTCCTGTTTTTGCTGCACTCTTCATGTCTTTTCTCAGAAAACTTGGGTTGTTTTGCTTTTTTGTGTAAAAGCTCACTGATGACCATATCATGAGATATAGATACTTGAAGAAATTTTTTTTTAATCAAACCTGGCTTCATAGACAGTGGTTTATTCCTCATCATATTTAACTTATCTATACTAACATCTACATATTTTTTTCACGCTTGTTGAATGCATGAATTGTTCTATATATGACTGAGGGATTTGTTGAAGGAAAATAGAGATACTAATGCCTTCCTGCCTATACATGGATCTGTGCAATTTTCTTGAGACAATGTTTAGTTGAACACTACTATCAGGGAAAAAATAGTTGTGCATATTTTTAGAAAATCTGTATGTGAAAGACAATTTTGTGATTGGAAGGACAACACAAAAAGAGAACACTCGTTAGTTTATGTAAACTTTGTATCTTTCCTATTTCAGAATAAACAAACATACTTTATATGCTTCTCAAATGTGATTAACTGATAGAACATGCTTTTAAAAAATTACCCCCTTCCTCTCTACCTCCCTCAGCAGTAAGACCACTCATGTTGAAGTCTATTCAGCCTATTTTAAGAAAAATTTAAACAGATTTAAACATATTTCCATATAGAATCAGATCATTTTTAAATCATGGAAGCGTTTTCTTAAAGAAAAAAATCCATACAAAGTCTGATTTTTTTGGTATATTTTTGTTCCAAGTTAAACAGTTTTTGAATAAAAATTACTTGGTGATTTGGAAAGGCTAGAAGACTTTATACCTTTTTAATTTAAAACATTCAGTTTTATGTTAAAAAAGTTTTTTTTTTTTTAAGTTTGTTTAAGGAAAATTCTATTCAAAGTGTAATGTCAAATTTTTAAGTACCAGACAAATCAAAATTCCCTGTAATTTAATACAATTTTCAGAGATTCCAAGAAAAATAAAAGAGATCCCTATATTCTGTGGGAAGTACAGCTGAATGTGTTGCATCTGGGCAACTGCAGAACTGAAAGGTAGTTACCGAATGGGTCTTTTGATTTATCTCTGTCTTTGTCTCTATAGCACAGTTCAGGAAGTATAAGGTGAGTTGTATTCCAGAACAATCATGCTTTGTTTAGAAGCCTAATCCTGCAAAATGCATTCTTAGGTAGTTTTTATTTCATTGAGTAAATCAGCTTTTTGATGGAAATACACACCTCCTAGGATAAAATTTTGTGTTTGTGAGTCCTGCAGTTCTGTTGTGCACACCTGAGGGAGTTTAAATAAGTTATTTTCATACCTCTGTAAAAAAGTGGTGATCATAAGAAGGATATTTAAAAAAAAAATACTGAAGTATATTCATAAATCCAGAGTATGTATTTCAGTCACCAGTGACTGGTGGTTCTTTGCACAGGACTCCCTGGGAGTTTGAATGTGAAACAAGGATGTCAATATTATGCCCCTAAAGGGAAATTTGGCCCTTTTGTCTATTCAAATGAGTGTTTTAAAATATTGCCTGAAGAATTCTGTTACAGGTGTATTATTAAAGCGATCTCTTGTAAGTTAGCCAATATCTAACAAATCAGTTACCATAGTTTACTATGAGAAATGTAATTCTGCAGAATGCCATAGCTACACAGCACTTATCAGTTAGAATGTAAGTATTGAGTTTGTCTTTAGAAATCTTGAACACCAGATTTCTAGAGAACAGATGTAAGGCTAGTTTGGACTTTTATCTCTTTCAATATGGCCATTCTAACTAGTGCTAACATTTTGATTGGCTGTAGTATGATTTATGTAGTATGATTTTTGTTGACTGAAAGATTGATCTCTTATTACATTGATTTAAATTATTCTTGCTTTTGGAATTCTTACATGTTGAAAGTGAATGTCTTTGTTACTTATATTGTGCATATAGTTCATATATTTCAAAATAAAGTGTTTTTTAGAATTAGTCTCACTCTAAGTCTGCAGAGGGATTCACTCCTTATGTTAGCATCATATATTAATTTAAACTAATGAAGTTGCACTTATTTATAGTAGCTTAAGGGTTTCTTTCCTCTTGTTCATTGGCAGTCATTTGTGTTATTTTAAAAATGGATTTATTTGAAAGGGAAAGTCCAAAATTTCAACAAAATTACAGAGCCAAAACTAATGTATCATCTTGATTGTAATCACTGATACTAGAAATGTCTGGTTCAGTAGTATTTTTGAGATATAATGCCATTTTTTTGTTATGAGATATAATGTTTTGCACTTGCTTAAATGTAGACTCGTGATGTATGTTGAAAGAGACAGCAGAAAGACCACACCAGGAAAAGAGCAGCAAGGTGGCAGTGAATACCTGTCAAAATGCCTGGATCTTCTCATCTATCACATTGTGCGGGAGCTGCCCGGGATTCTAGGTAAATTCAGTTCGTTAACTGAACAAGTGTTGCCTTTGCATACTCCCTCGAGAAACAAATATCTCCTTACATATACAGGTGGAAAGACTGTATCGTCTGGTTTCAATAACTGCATGATATCAGCTTCATGAAGTTTTTTAGTTATGCTCAGATATTTTGTTTTGGAATGCATGACATACTATATTAATTCTTTGTATTTGTTGAATGGTAAGCCCCATCAACTCAGTCAGGTATGAGGCCCAAATGTTCAACAAGTTTATCAGCGTTCTAAGGATGTTCCAAACATGGAAAAACCTAAGAGCAAATTTGCCTCATAAAGCACAGGGCTAGGAGAGATGCAATGGGGCATATCCATGAGTATGTGTTAATCACTTACACTGAAACTTCTATGTTGAGTATCTGCTTTGGGCAATTTTTCTGGAAAACTTCAGCCTAGGTACTTCAGTTGTTCTAGATGTCTGGAACTGCTTTGCTCATGAGTAAGAAAAGATGGAAAGATTTTTCTCTGAGAGAGCATCAATGCTACCTCAGCCCATCCCTTACACTTAGGAATAAGGACTTTGTATCAGGAAGGTCGTTTTTGTGCCAAAGATATGCATCTCGACAATTTTGTGAATATCAGCTCAAATTTCACTAGTATTTGAGCCTTTGGAATGATAAAAAGCTACTTGGAAGTTTGTGCTGTTCGTGTACAGAAATTCTTCAAGCAGAAATTTGCTTGGGTTTAGCAGCTAAAGTCCTGTCATCACTGAATATGCTCAAATGTGTCATAGTGGGATGAGGAACTGGGGAAGAGGGGACTTGCAGACGGAACAGTGAAAGGCCTTGTGTGCAAACAGGGCAAAACCTGCAAATTGCAGGACAAAATCTGGACTCATTTGACAACTAGAGCAGAAACTGGAGTAGGAAGAAATTAGTTTGAGAGTCTGGGGAGTCAGTCAAGAGAAGGTGATGAAACAGGATGAGAATTTTGGCCATTTATACAAAAGTAATAGATAAAATCTTGAAAAATTAAGGAGCATCTGTTGGTGATTTTTGAACGTAAGGTTGATATTGAATAAAAGAAATGTCACAGAAATTACCCTAGATGAGTAAGAACAGTGTGATTGTGTTTCTGGAAAAAGCTGTACTACATGATATATGAGGAAAGGTCAGGTTTTTATTTGAAGAAATTAATTAGGAGGGAGTGAAAGAAGAAATGAAAGAAGGGAAGGAAGGGAGTTAGGGAGGAAAGGGAAGAAGGAAGAAGGGAAGTGGGAGGATGGGGAAGAGAGGAAGGGATGAGAGGGGGTAGGAAGGAAAGAAAGGAAAGAGGAAGGGGTAGAGAGGAGAAGGGAAGGAACAAAGGAATGAGGGGGAGAGGGGATGAAGAAAGAGGAAGGGAAGGATGAGGGGAAGGAAGGAAAGAGGGAAAGGGGAGGAAGAAGGAGGTAAGAAGGAAGGAGAAAATATGAGATTGGTGTGGACAGTCTGAATCATCATTAAAATTCTTATTGAAACTTCTGGCGGGTGAGATCTCCCACAGAATAGAGTAAGAAAGCTAAATAGGAAGACAAGGAAGGACATACTGCAGGTCTTGAGGAAGACAAAGGAGCAAAACCAACCCTGAGTGTGTATGCCTTGTTGTTAAACGATAAAACTTTTTTTTTTTCATAAAATTATTTTCTGATGAGATGATACCTGATTTTTTTTTTCATGTTCTCTACATTATTGCTAGAATATTGAAAATGAAATGGTAGCGCTGCAAATGTCAGTAGACCTAAATGTCATGCTGCTATTTTAAAAGAAACTTCACTTCCTATGACAATGCAAATTTTTGCCTTGCTACAAATACCTGATCCCTCTTTTCTAACTAAATATCAGGTTCGTATATTGGGTATATTTCAGGATTTGGAAGTCTCAGACTACAAATGTTTGAGGCAGAAATTCACTTCCTACAGTCTGTACATACTATATGCGACTAATACAGTGGCCCCTGATATTTCTTCAGAACGTGGAAGTGCTATACATCAAATCTATAGTTGCTATCATTATAATACCTAATAATCAATTGCTTTAACATGTATTCTGCTGGGGTTTTTTGCTACTGATGTAAAATTTCAGTGTTTTGTTTGGACAACTGGTATATCAAGCATAATTTTTACACTTTGTTTTCCTTTCCTAACTAGATTTGTGTGTTGATTGTTTTTATTAAGATTAAGCTATCTGTCCACATTTGTCAGAAGGCTTTTTCTTTTTATTGCTGTGAGTATGATGAAGGAACATGTTCTGCTTGAGAAGGTAAAAGCTATGGGCTCCTAAGAAAAATGATCAGATTTGTGAAGTGGAACAGTTAAAAGCAGTTTAGTTGTTGATTTGGAGTTAATCCTAGCTGGCTTTTTTAATATGCATTTATTTAAGTTCCTTACTGATCCCATCTTCTTCCACCAGATGTAGCTATAAACCAAATAGAGTAACCAGTTGTAGAAATTTGCCTCAACGTTAACACAAATGAAAGAAATTATTACTCTCATGGATAATTTTAAAAGTTTTCTGTTGTTTTAGGTAAGAAAGTAATTTTATTTCTGCATTTACGATATTTAACGTATTTCTAGGAAGTAGATATAAATTGCTTAGATCATGCTAAAAATTGAAGTAACCATATCTATCTATCAACAGCAAAATTGGCAAATATGATTATATAGTCCTAAAATCTTAGAAAGAGAGTAGATTATTCAGTAAATTATCTGTTGTTAACCACAGAAAGGTCTTGTTAAATTACAGTATTGCAAGTAATTAAAAACAAAAATGTGTTGATGAAGAAACAGTATTTTGGTTTATGTTTTTGGAGAGCTTTAGGCAACACGCTATTTTTCTTGAGTAACACATTCCAGAATGAGTCAAATCTTGAAGTCTATGTATTTTTACAACCTACTTCAGTGCCAGGCTCTGTCATTTCCACTTACATTGAAAATTGAACTCCATGGGAGCAGCAGAAAAGCATGGGTATTATTCAACATGAATGAACTCTATGACTTACTCTGAAAGGAAGGGCCTTTTCTGGCATGAAAATTGTATAAAATACTGAATCCTGTCCTCTTTTATTAATGCCTCTGTGTTTTCCCTTTTACAATTTTGTGCAGTGCTCTCATTAGGAAAAAAATACAGTAAGTGTTCTTTCAAGACATGATTTGGCTTTTAATATTTTCAGGCTGTAGGGACAGAATTTTCCTTCTTTGCATTTGAGCCATGACTTTTCTCCTCCTGCTTCTGTTCTTTATTCCATGCAGAAGGGTTCTTGCTTTTCTGAGACAATAGTTAATGTGCCACAAGTTCAGCATCATGTTCTTTGATTTTTTTGGAAGAGGCTGCCCAGGCAAGTGGTTGAGTCAACATCCCTGGAGGTATTTAAAAGATGTGTAGACGTGGCACTTAAGGACATGGTTTAGCGGGACTTGGCAGTGTTAGGTTTACAGTTGGACTCAAAGATCTTAAAGGTCTTTTCGAACCTAAATGATCCTATGATTCTATTCTATATGTCTCTTCTGAAGTTTGAAGTATAATTTTCACTATTGCAATTGGAATTTTGTTCCCTCATTATTGTGTCTGAGGTTTGTTATGGAAGCAACTAAGTTCTCACATTGACCTGCTGCTACCTCTTTTATGAGAACATGAGAATTCCTGTTGCTTTAGGTCACTTAAGTCATTGTTAAACTTTTGAATGAGAGTGTGTGTGTGGATGGTGGAGGAGTATTTTGGAAGGTGGGGAGGATGTTTGTTTCTTTCTTTCTTCCAGTAATACTATGCTGCATGAAAAATATAATGCTTGAGCATTATGTCACTACAAATCATGGTGAATTCAGCTCTTTGTCAGCTTGAACTAATGAGAATTTTGCTTTTTATTTCACTGGAAATAGAATTGCATCCATAGAGTTTCAAGAGTATAATTCCATGCATATGTAGCCACTTAAAGCCACTATAAGTCCAGCCTGACAAGAAGGGTAATTTTATCTTTGCTTCTACACCTGCCTTGTATCTCTGTCCTCACCGTTTTGCCAAAGGTCACATTTGCGCACTTGTCCCTGTAGCCAGAGCAGGAAATTGGTGTGGCTGAACACTGAGCTAGGAAAGAAAAGTGCTGGATAAGCTTGATTTATCATGCAATCACATGAACGCTACTTTTGGCAGGAGGGAGAGGATGGGATTGAACAGGAGATACTGGAACAGAGATATTTTATATGTCATTTGCTCTTGTTTGGTAAATCAATTATGTTAGATCAGTCTGAAATGTTGTTTTCTGTAGGTGACATTCTTGCTGCCTTGACTAATGTCTGTGGACGTAAACACCCATCAACGGTTCAGGCCAAACAGCTGAAGATGTGCCTTCCTATGATGCCTGTAGTGCTTCACCTTGTGACATCCCAGGTAGGTGGGTTTTTTTCCAAAAATTGTTTAACGAAGGACAAACTCTTGCGGTTTCCCAAAGTCGAATTTCTGCTGATCATGATCAGAATGGATAAAATAGATCTTTTATTAAAAGTATAGCTATGTTGATGAATGTTCCAGCTGTGTAACAGCATTAAAGATATAAGCCTCATTTTTGCATGTTGTAAGACAACTCTAATGATAGAAGCAAATACATGTTTTGTCCTCTTTTTTAAACATGGCTGTGAAATATATGTTTTACTTTTTCTGATCCTAAGATACACATTTAATTTATTTTTTCAACTTTTGCTAAATTCAAACAGGTATTTCGTCCCCAGATAGTCACAGAGGAGTTTCTTTTCAACTATGGGACCTTACTTGTGAGTATAACCATCTAAGTTAAATCTTGTTTACAAATATACATATGCATAAAATTTTGGTAATTATTTTAATGTAATAAAATTACATTGAACTTATAAATTGGAGCAAGAACTTTATTCTGGATATAAAAATTAAGCTTTGATTATATTCAAAACTGTGTATATTAGCAGAAAATATTTTCTGTAGTAATCTATTGGGTCAAAGGGAAAATACGCTATCCTGTGTTCAAGTATATAGAAACTATGCACATTTCTGATAAGCTGAGAATTTCCTGCGTGTTGTATTTTAGACTAGAAAAGCTTAGCTCTAAATTACACAGAATACAATTTCTAGAATTTTATGATAGTATTTTATGAGTAGAAATGAAAGATAAGTTATAATCTAATATATAAGGCATTCTTTTGTCATCTTTATTTTCTTGCCACTACTTTTAAACTCTATGTAGTTGATGAAAAGCTATTACAAGCTACAGAGCGAAGATATTTGTCTCATGTTAACACCTACAAGCTATTTATGACATTTTCAATGTCATTCAAAAAAGAAAATGGTTTTTTTAACTGTGCCGTAGGATAGTATAGCAAAAGTGTAGTACATTTGTAATATAATTTCCTCATAGGAAAACCGTTGCTGCTGCTAAATGAGAAAAAAACATTCTCAAGTTGCGTATCAGAGTTAAGCAAATACTTTTAAATTACAGATTTGTAAATGATAACTATGTATTTGCTTCCACAATAGCATGAAGAAATGCTTCACCCCAAACAGCTAGATTAGTTTACTGTTCAGATTCCCTTCTCTTTCTTCTTTTAATCTTGATTCCAAGAAAATGGGCGTTTAATTTAGCTCTACTAAAATATTTGTATAAAAATCAACATTAGAATGAAGAAAAAAATTAAAACTGGAGATGTTGAATTGCAAAGCCTTTTATCTCTTTGAAGCATTTGTTATTATGCAGTAGATTTATTAATGGTTTTGGATCAACCTTTTAGAAGGTGAAATTCTTCGGTCAGCAGCATAGGTAAAGCAGACCCGGTACAATGTAAGTTTTCTTTTAATGTTACTCCAGCTTGCTTGAAATACTGACTGAGGAAGTCAGGCTAGTTATACTACCACAGCTTTTCTCTCAGATCAAGGAGGGGAAGGTTACTGAATATTTCCTGCATCTTGTCCTTCTGTCTCCATCAAACAAGGCAATTCAGGAACTTGCATATACTATTTCAAGTACACATAAAAAAGGGAGGGGAAGTAGTATATCTGAAAAAATAATATGAAATTTCAATCCATTTTTTATAACTGTGTGACAAATCTAATTACTTCTGGAAGGGTAACTATCCATTCTACCAGGCAACAGTCTACTCTAGAATTTTGTGTTTAGCAAGATTACCACTGACATCTATACAGAGACATTTGATCATCAGCTTGTACTTTTTCAGAGAGGCCTCTAAGACTTTAGCAAGTCAGTCTTTCGGGGGTTTTTTTTGTGTGTGTTTTCTTTTTTTTTTTTGTTTTCCTGATTTATTAAAAAATCTTACTCTTAATAAGAAATGATTAGGGGTGGAAAGATGTGTGCGTGGTATCTGGAAGGAAAACAGTAGTTATTTTCCTGTAACTTTTGTTCATTGAGAATTTTTTTTTCTTGTTGCTTTGAAGTTATTTCCATCATCACTGTAATTTTCTGTACTGTTGTGGAAAGAAATTGAGAGGGAGTCAGAACAGTCCTTTCATGTTTTCAGCTGTGAATAAAAATACATGGAGGACATGCTCTGCCCCAAAGGCACAGCTAATAGTAGGCTCCTAGTGGAGGCACAGACTCACCTGTAGTGGAACACACACACCATTCCTCTCCGTTGCTTAAAAATTCCCAGATAGTCGTGGTTTTCTTTGTACAAATACATCTTCTTGTGTTTCTAATACAAAATTAAGGAAATAAGCATTAGTAGCCAGAACAATTTTTGCACCTACTATATTGATTTTTCCAAATTGGTCTTGAGACTATGGTTAGGTGTGAAACTGTCTTAAATGACAAATAAAATAATTTAATCTCTTCCCAAACAAGTTAATTAGATAATAACTAGTAATTTTCTTCAAAAGATCAGGAAGATAAAATAACTTTTTTAAAGCAGCTGTTTTTTATGACTGCCTCTGAGATGCTTTTAAATTATGAAATATATAATTAGTTTCTAACTGTATTTTTAATTAGAGAAGAATCCTTCAGATGTTTCTTACATACTGAGAAAAAGATAATCCACAAAGACACTTCTGCCAATTTAATATATAATCACAAAATTTTAATTGATAGTGAAAAATAAAACAGGCGTCATTTTCTTAATGCTTTACCTCATATAAATAAATAGATATGTGTGCAAATTGAAAATAAAGAGGAGGTTTATGCATGGTAAATTCTCTATGTATTAAATACCACATTACTAAAAAAGAGCATACTATAAATTCTGCTGAGAATTCTTCCTTCTTTAGCAAATGTTAATAATGTCTTTTGCATCCCCTATGAAATAAACAGCTATGCATAGAGGTGAAAGCAAAAGAGTGAAATCAAGATAAAAAGGCAAAAGAATAATGGGTCTAATTGTACAATATTTACTTAACCCAGATTATTAATATTTCATTGTTCCTGTTCCTCAAAATAATGACTGATTTAGGTGATTTTTAACAGAAGGTTATGCATTTTTGAATGTTCTCCTGTGTGTTAGTGTATCCATAGTGTGTGCAATATGCATGGAGATCAAAAAGATGGTTGAAATAACAGAAAATTGCATTTTCTGGAGGATCTTCAGTCTTTTTAGTGAGTTATTTTGACATAGCCATGGCCAAGGAAGTTCAAAGTAGTCTTAGAAATTACAGTTTTCTGTTAACAATAAAGACATTTAATTACTGTCTATTTAGCTGGAAATGTTGTAATTCCTGACATTAGTCAGAGTAATAGTCCTTACTGTACTCTAACTAGGTGTCCAGCAGCATTACAGACTTGCAAAATTATAACAGCTAGATCATGAATGCTTTCAGTCTTTCATATCTTAATTATTACAACAGTGATTACTAATGGAGATGCATTAACATTTTGTATTTACACAGTCCCTTAAAGAATTTCATGTTGTAATTATTCAGTGATTACCCTTCTTAATTTTTGTTCCTAAAGTGTTTTAACATAAATGCCTCTCTTCTTCTGTAGAGTTTTATCAGATCAATAGATTCAGGAGAAACAAACTTGGATGGAGCAATAGGTAAGGTAACCTATGATATTGCTGTACTTTTATTTGTAGGCATTATAACGGTTGCATTTTATAAAAAAATACAACGATTTTTACTAATAGGGCAAGCTGCATCAGAAGAATTGATTAAGACTACTTTATCAACCTTTGAAGCAGTTACACAGCATCCTGTCTTGTTGACAATTCATCGCTTGACCGTAAGTCTGGCAACAAATTAAATAGTTGCAGGCTAATTCGCCTGATTCCATTGATAAATAGAATGTTTTGAAGATTTAGAAACTGTTTAAATTATGGCTTAAAATATATTGTGGTTCTACCTGACAGGAAAAATCCTTCTTCTTTATGGAGATGTAATTTTCAAAGCAGCAGCAAGGCATTTGGACTCAGTTTACTGTATAAGAAGTTAAAGGGAGATTGAGAAGGGCTTAGAGTTTAGAAATAGCAGTTCTTGAAATTATTTTTATGTAAATATAACACTTGATTCTATAAGTTTTCAGCCTCAAAGCAAGTATGTTGCTATTAGTGAATATTTCACCCGTTCATTTGTCATTATGCTTTTAACATAGCTTGGAAAGACCACCTCTGAGGGTTGAAGATCCTGTACCACCAGTACTCTTCCTGATGAGATCATGATCAAGAGTAACAGTTTATGGCAGTTATGGTGGGGTTTTTTGTTTAAGTATGACAGATTGCCTGCTAAAAATTGCATTGCAATTACAAAACCCACATACTGTAAGCTTCTTATATCACTGAAGTTTTGTTTTCTTTGAAGTTTTTCATTAAATGATTAACTTTCAGCTAAGCTAGCAGAAGCCAGACAGTTACTCTGTGAAATAGTTGTCAGCAAATCAGTAGGTTGGAATGCTTGAATCAGTGATGGACAAATCATTGTAACCTGTACCAGTGCAGTCTTGTGCCTCAATTTCTACCAAAAGCATAACGATACTTACTGGGAGGACCATTTAATTCAAACTGAAATTTATGTGTTTGTGTTGGAATTAGGTTAAGGACACACTCAGTGTAGCACTTAAATTGATAAAGGCATTAGCAAATTGATACATTCATAAGAAGGAGTGATCTTAGGGATTGGACTACGAAGAATGGATGATCTTAGAAATTAAATGTTTTTGGAAGTTGAATCCTATTTGGTGTGTGCATTAGTTGAGTATTTAGATTATTAAAGCCTTAATAACTGAAAATACTAAAATTAATAAAAAATATAAATAGGAATTTAAGTAAGTTTAATGTTTATTTTCATTAATGCTCACAGAAGAGTGGTATTCAAGAAGATGGTCTTTACACACAAAAATATAACCAATTAATAGTCAGAGGAGAAATAGTACAGAACTAAACAGTTCAATTTAATATGGCAAAGGATGTTCTAGAAAAGAAATGTAAATGTAGGCGAGGTATGAATACCTATTGGTATCTCTTTACACGTCTGTCAGTCTGCAAGTCACTGTACTATGACTGTATCATTCTAGAATCACCTCAATTTTTAAAAATAATAATTTTACTTCTGTGGGTTATTGGTGTGTCCTATTCTGATAGAAATATGTACCTTTTTTATGGATGTCTATCAATATTTACTGAAATTGCAAGACCTTGTGTTAGCACATTACATAAAATTCCCCTAGGTGTTTAAACTTCAATAATCTGAGTTTTTTTTTCCCTGAAAAAACAGCACCAAGGAGATAGCTCCCCTTCACAATCCTTCTTCCGTTGCTCCCATCCCTACATTCAGCAGAATGTTACATTGAAGCCAGGGAATAACTATCCCACTCTCTTTTAAGTAACCCCTGGCTACCAGTAGTTGAGTTTTATTTAAGTATCTAAATTTCTGTGGAACAGTTTACTTCATGACATGTGCTGAAAGTTTTAGGTGTTTATTTAAAATCTATCTGAACACATTGGTTAACCATCTGTAGCTAGAGGAAAAACTTCCTGCCTGTCCAGTGCTTGTAAATTTATGGCACATAGCACTTCTGTAGAATAGTTTCCCTGATTTAGAATAGGTGTATATTGAAATTTATTAGCTAGAAATAATTATATCCTTGTCAATGAACAGCTTTTTTTTTTTTTAAGAAAATAACATCTATGACTTCACTTTCACATTTTCATAACTAACAGTTCTTCCTGATTTAAAAGAGCCCTCCGACACTCAGCAAAGAGCCAGACACAAAATAAAGTGGAGAAATTGCCTTGTATTTAGTGTGTTAAATTCAAGAAATTGTCCACTGTAATTAATAATCTCTAACCACATCTGCCACTAGTGGAGCAAACAGTAATTAGTTTAATACTATTTACGAAGTCTAGTGTGCTAATTATACTTGAATGTACAGCATACATTACTGGCAGAAAGTGGTACTTCATCTTCTGTGATGCATATAGAATATTTTTAGAATTGCTGTTACTCAAGGGATATCTTCTAATTGCTGCTCGCTGAGCATGACTGGAATCTATGAATATAAATGCCAGCACCCAGTGGAAATTGGTGCTTTTTTAAAAAGTTGAAGCAAGACATGTTCAAGCTTCCAGATCAATATTTAAGTATAACACTGGTTAATAGGAAGCTCTCTTACTGGAGAGAAATGTGTATCCTAGGCTGATCTCTGAAGACTGGACTGCTCATTTAGACAAAGTTGGTTACAAACAGCATTTTATGGAGAGTGGGGAAGACAAAACCTTCTTCAGAGGATGCATTTTTTCCACTACAACTGTGACGTTGTTTTGAAGTGTCTAATCAGAAATCAAATGCATTTTTAGAAAGCTTAATGAATTTAATAAAAAATGAGATTATATTAAGCAAGCAGAACCAGTCAGTTTTTCAGCTCCCTTCTGGTTGGAATTTAGCTGCAATGGAACTTGGATAAGTTAGTAGGAATTTAGGAGCAGCATTCCAGGTTCTTCTCACCTTGAGAAGAAAAGAATTGCCTGTTCTGGGTTTTGATTTGCCTTTGTATTTGTACCTTGAACAAAGAAAATTGGATAAATTGATTTTTTGTGATCAAATTTCTGATTAGCATCAACCTGAAGTCAGTTTGTTGAGGAGATTAATTTCTGTCGGGACTGACTGTATTATATATTACTAAGTGTGATAAAGTCAAGGGAAATGAATTTAAAGTACTCAAATGAAAGCTAGTGGTGAGCAGTAATTTAATTTTGTATGCAGTTGTGTGCATTTTTACAAGATATAAAGTAAAGACTAACAGTACTTGTCACTCAGCAAGTTTTGACAAAACTGTAGATTTCAAGGTACTCAAATATGATGATGAAGGCCATCACGAAGGTTCTTTAACTGATACAAGTCCAACTGCCTGTTTCTTCCATGTACCTAAAATTGGAAAATATTTATTAAATTCAGGTAATAAGAGTTATAAGAATACTTATTTTGAAATTTTGGTAAAGGTTTAGATATAATTAACTGGAAGAATTCTGTGCTGACTGTATCATTTGCATTTTTCTTTGTTAAGTATATTTATTTGCCTGAAAAAAGGATGTATGCTAATTCAGAGCACTTTAAGCAGTGATGAGGTTCATGATGGCAGGCAGTTCCTGTGGGAGTCCTTTCTATACTCTAACTAGCTCCCAAAAATGCACTGTATACTGCACAGATGATCTTTTACCTGAAGCATGAAGTTCTTCTCTGGTTGAAGCAAAAGTTGTTAGCAGTGATTGTCCTCAAAAGAGGAGGTTTGAAAACCTGTTTTTAAAAATCAGGCCTAAATAAAAGCACATTGAACATGATGAGTTGCTTGATGGGAAGTCAAGGGAAAAGCAGTATGACATGGAAATCTACTGGTTGACAATATAAGAGTAATTTTCACCAGAGATGACAACACAAGGGTTAGAAACTTCTGCAAGTGTTTTTTTTCTGTTCGTCTTAGTCTTTTCTTGATTCAGCATCAGTGGTGTTCTTCATCCACAGGCTGTTCTGATCTAACCACTGACACCTTAATTTTTTCAGTGTAGGGTATGACTATATGAACGTATTGTACAGCATTTCTTCAATCACTTTCCCTTTTCAAGTAGATAAAAATTCTACACCACATGTGGCTTTCTGTCCATTAAGCTAATCCATGTGACACAAGACTTTTTTGTGAAACGAGTTCTGTCCTAATTGACATATTGAGTCAGTCAATCAATGCTGTGTCTTCCCAGAAGTAAGAAAAAAACCGAAACCACCCTCAGTGAAGGTTCTGAAGTTCTGAAGACTTTAAAAAAAAAAAAAATTACAGAAATGTCATCCTTCTCCCCAGGTCATTCTAACATGCATTAGATTATTTTTTCTATTACATTCTGAGAGATTACTGGCAATATTAAAACATTGAGGAGCATGCTGTGCCTCCAGCAAATGCTTTAAGAAATTTGAAGGCAGCGTGATGTTAATTCCATGGTCACTTTCAGCAATAAATTTGTATGTGAATTTTAATGAGAGTAAATGTCAAGGTGGTGTTGGATGTTGTGGATCTTACATGTGACTGGAAAAAAAGGATTTGGGAGCTGATGGTCTTTGCTTTGGTATGTTTTTCTTTGAATAGTGGGTAAGGAGAAGATATTTGTCAGTAGTTGTAAGTTAAACATATGCAGACTGAAAATAACCAGGTATCTCTAGAAAACTCTCTGGAAGTAAAGTAATGCGCTTAGTCACTTGCAAGTTTGATACAATAGCTGCATGGAATGAATAGCGTAGTTTATTTATGTAAGTTTAAATACTGGGTCTGATTTTCACTTGAGAATATCATGGTTCACAAATGCTTCTAGACCAGGCTTTAAGCCTGCTTACTTTTTCTGTCTACCCAGTGTAACACCAAATGTCAAGGCTTTGGCCTTAATCACTGATTTGAAGAGCTCTGAAACTCAGTTTTAATGAAGGGAGAGATTTTTTAGGTTGGTAATGTTAACCATATTAAGGTAGATTCTCTGCCCTTGAGAAAGAAGGTTAGCTATCCATATAAATGTAGTCTAAGTTGTAGGGGATAATGGTTAAGTTTCGTTATATGCTAGTTCATTAGTGTATGATGATCGCGTGTATATGTTGAATAGCTGAATTCATCTTTGCTGACTAGCCACAAGCGAATGAAAGTTTGGTTCTCCATCATCATTCTTAAGATACCTCCCTCTAGACAGGAGTTTAGTCTATTGGATCCTTCCACTGGCAGTGTTATAACTGCTTTTTAGTGGGCACTTGTGGAGCTTGGGCTTTGCTTGGTGAAGTTAAGTAAAGTTGAGGCAATGTTTGTTTCTAGCAAAGCAAGCATATACGTTTAGGGTGCAGGCCTTGTGTCTGATATCTCAACAGCAGAGACAATCAGGGAAGGACTGAAGTTACAGTTGTCTCTTCCAAGCTTCTCTCAGCAGCTGGTGAATTCTTAATTACTCTGAAACTGTGGCTTGTCTCTCTTTCTCTTTTGAGGTTTGAAGCAACATACAGACTTTCTATTAGAAAGAATTTCTATTAAAATTGTGCCTTGTTTTCAAAAGATATGATTTTTGTAAGTAATAAAATACTGTAAAAAAGTGAGTGCAGCTTTTGCTGGGTGTTCATACCTCACTAGTAGAGTTTTGCTTGCAGAAATCAGTGAACACATCAGTGGAGACAGATGTTCTGGTTTTAGATAGTATATTTGGATTTCCAAAAAGTTTTTGACAGAGTCATGCACCAAAGACTCTTCAAATCCATCAGTGGCCCTTCCCTCTTACCCTCTGACAGATGAACTTCTAACTAGTTAAAATTTACTAAGTAGAGAATAGAGATCAGTTCTTAAAAATTTAGGAACACCAAGAATGGTGCCTTACAAAGATTTGTGTTGCGACATCTGCTATTTATAACTAATCCAGAAAAGGGAATGAGTAGGGAGGTGACAGAAGTGACTGATGACACTAAATTATTCACAGTAGTGAAAGTTAAAACTGACAGAGTTGCAGAAGGTATCAAGATACTGAGTGAAAGGACAATGAAGTGACATGCAATTCAATACTGATAAATGTCAAATGACTCACATGGGGCAGATCATTCCAAATATGCATATGCAGTGTCAGGCTCTAAACTACTTGTAGCGGTTCTGGAGATCTTTTAGCATAGTTTTTCTCTGAAAATTATAGCTTTATACTCATCAGCAATCAGAAAGACAACTAGATTATTAGAAATGACTGGTAGAAGATCAGACAAAAAAGCAGAAAATATCACTATGCCATGGTGAGTCTGTGGTGCCCTCAAGTCTTGAATATTGAATGTAGTTGTGGTCATTCACTCTCAAAGGGAATGACTTAACAAGAAAAAGTACAGCTCAATGCTGTGAGGAGGGACTGAGTTGTTAAGAACTTCAGCTTGGAAACAAAAGACTTGAGAGTATAAAATGATCACTAGCATGGGAGAGATGAATTGGAAATAATTATTCATGGTTTTCGTAATCACAGAATCACTAAGGTTGGAAAGGACCTTCAAGATCATCAAGTCCAACCGTTAACCCGACACCACCATGCCCCCTAAACCATGTCCCGAAGCGCCACATCCACATATTTTTTTGAATATTTCTGGAGATGGTGACTCCACCACCTCCCTGGGCAGCCTGTGCCAATGCTTGACCACTCTCTTGGTGAAGAAATTTTTCCTAATATCCAGTCTAAACCTCCCCTGCCGCAACTTGAGGCCATTTCCTCTCCGTCCTATCACTAGTTACTTGGGAGAAAATAACAATAAGTAGATATCAAGTTAAATGCCTTAAAATAAACAAGGAAGTACCTTTTCATAAGGGATAACTGAAGTGTGGAATTCAGTGCTGTAGGGTATTGTGCATGCTACAAGTCTAAATACATTTAAGATAGGGTTAGACAAATATATGGGAGAAAAGGCTAGTAAGCATTATTAAATGCAACAATACAGATACAGCATCAGCTTAGGGAGTTTCTTAACTCGAGTTACTTCACTAGAAACTACAGTTTTACTTTATACTTGGTCTATTGCTCCTACTCTTTTTCTACTCTTTTCCAATTGTCAGAAACAGGATTACCAGGTTTGAGCTGGTAATTTTTGTTTGGTCCTGTGCATAGCTGCGAGACACAGATGTAGTGTGTATGGAAGTTTCTAGTATTTCATTGTTATTTGGGTACTGATAACAGGACAGTTGTGGCAGTATAGCCTTTGAATGCTGTCATTACAGAATTATACAATGGTGGCTTTGTGCAGTTAGGGATTTATCACGAAATGGGTATCAGGCTATTTAGAAGTTGGTAGAAACCTGGATTATAGCTATGATCATATTCAAACTATGTAGCCTGTTTAGGCTTAAAGAAGAATATTTCCCACTTTTTTGTAAGCAATCTTAGTGATAAAGACTGAAACAAGAAAAATATCTGGCTACCTTCACGCATATATGAAGATTTGATTCCATGTAGATGTCAGCAGTCATTTAAAAGAAGAAAAAAATGAATCCTTGTTTGAGTATTCTTCTATTTGTTTCAATCCCTCTAGAAAATGCCAAAATACTAATACCATGCTTCTGTATACATAACTTAGAGAGACTTGTGCAATGGTGAATTTATTAAAAATATTTTAGGTACTATTACACTTCAGTTTATTTCAGCTCAATAATTATTTGCTTTGTTCATATCTTGTTTACAGATTTGTGTACACATTAGTTAAAAAAGTGACCCAAATGGCATGGAGAGAAGATCAGGGTTGCAGAGTTAGGAAGAATCTGATTTAAGGTTCATGTACAATTTAATATTTGCTTCTCCCTTCATTATGTGCATCCCGATATGCTCTTGCATCACAAGCATTTTTCCATAGGCTTAGTGTTTCATTAGTTGATCTCCCCACCACACCGAACTGACATGAGGCAAACACCTGCTATGGAGAATTCCATTCTAAGCAGTTTGCCAAAATTGAGGTTCATGTTAGAAAAAGGTCAGAAAAAGCTACTACAGCTATTTAAGACCTAAAGAATCTTCTTTACAATGACAGTCTAAAACATGTTTATCTTAGAAAAGACTTATGAGTGGCTTAACTACATTCACTACTCTTAGTACTAGATGAAAGTGAAAGAAGATTTGAAGTTTTAGAAATTGAAGCATCATACTGTTGTGTAGTGCCATCCTAATCGTTATCAGTCTGAGTCAATGCTGCTGCTCCTGAGTGATTCATGATATTCTGAGTCCCTACATTGCTTCAGACAATTGAGAGCTGCTTTCTTTGCTCCTTTGTCTCACACCTTTAATTCACCACTTAAATATGTCTCTTCATTTGAGAAGCATTGCGATAGATTGAACTGTTTTTTTGGACTGAAAGGCCTTAAGTACATACTTGTTTTTAATCCTACCTCACATGTATGTTATAACTGATAAATTAGAATTTGTAGAACAGTTTAGAAACCTGCATTAATGGAGTTGTTGGAGTGCAGTGTAGTTTTATTATTTATCTTATTGCATATTAACTGAAAAGACCATGAAATATTTCAAAATTATGAAGTGTTACAAAAGTCACTCCATCTGTGATACATAGCATTATCTATATACACGGAAAGGCTTGCACGGGTAGTTTGACTTCCATACCTCAAGCAGAGTCCTTTACCTCTTTTATTGAAAGTATGTAACAAAGGCATCTTTTGGTAGTTTTTTCAGAAGTGAAAACAAGGTAGACTAAATGAATCCCTTAATGTCAGAGGTTCATTTAACGGAGACCACCAACTAACAATGAAATAATTGTTAATTGTAGTTATTGCTGACTAGAGGATAACTTCATTTAATGACCCCTTTTCATATATACTTTCAGCTTCTCTAGATGTTTCTTAATAGTAGCTGCAGAAATCTAGAGAAATTCTCTCTTCTAGTATTAATCACTAAAAGAAAACACATGGGGGATTATAATGCAGTCTTGTTACACCAAATCCTGTCCACGGTGTAGTGAGAACCTACACTACTGTTTTATTTTTCTAAATAAATCCAAGCACAAGCTGTGTATCCATGATGCATGCTTAAAAATTGCAAGGCTGTCCATCCATCCTCTCCCCAAAACCAAAACATGTCCTGTCTAAATAAATTATATTTTACCAATGAGTTAAGACTTAGCAATTCATTCTCTTACAGAGAATAGTAATAATACACTATTTTTGTAATATTAGATGTATAAAACTGAGTTATAGCCTGGTTTTCCATAGTTGATTTCAGATGGAACTAAGCGGACAGATGATTAATCTGGAGCAATACACTCATAGACAATAAAGTGTTGACTGGATTAATTTTTTTTCATATTTCAAATCTTAAGTCTGTAAATTTAAATTTTACTGGAAGACTCTGTATTACCAGAATGGAAGAAGTTGGAATTTTATCAAGACTCTCTACTAAGCTGAAGGATATTTTGTTAGAGGTAGTACATCTTTCCTGATATATTTTAGTTCTATGCAGATTTGTTTTAGAGGTATGTTTCTTCTGAATTCTTACTTGATGATTAGTTTATGGATTAAAGCATCAGGATTAATAGATATTCTAATACTCTTTTTTCTTAATATCTTGCATCTGCACTGAATTCTGTATTTTAAATTAAAACTCACTCTCAATGAATTATACCAAATTTACTGTTGTTTTCTGTATAAAAGTACATTACTGTCTGTAACTTCATGACATCTTACCAGAGAAATGTGAACGTGGTGGCTTTCTAAGTGTGATTATGGATGAATTTCTATGATTATTCATCTCTTTGATTAAGGGCTCTAGCAGTGGAATAAACATAGAACAGATATACACTATCTTCTATTTTTTCCCCTGTGAATAATCTAAGCCAGATCTTTCTAATTCTCTGTTCTAGGTTGAAGCCTGTATCCTCCCACCACTAGTTTCTTTGGTCCACAGTCAGAATGGTAAGTATATGGCCACATCAACTACAGTTTCCATGAATTCCACATTTTGTTTTAATTAGACTTCAGTGTGGTCACATTCTTGGCACCTTTATTTTCAAGTGGAATGGAGACTCTTCAGCTTGCGGTTGCTCTCAGAAACCACGTCACTGCTTTTAAGCCACGAGGTCATGGCTGAGGGGAAAGGGGAGAGCCTCGACTCAAACAGCAAGCTTCTGTCTCTCATTAGAGATTCGTTGCTGCCTCAGTAAGTATAGTATTGCTCCTGTAATGGGGAATAACTTGATACTCAATCCATTTTGACAGCATATTTGTTTTAACTGCCCTTTTTATGTTTAAATGGCAAAATGAAAAGAGGAATAGCAATTAACTGCTGCTGGAGTTCTCTGCAGAACATCTCTCTCCTAGGTTTATTTAGTACTTTGTCATATACAACACAAACATAACTTCTGTGTGACACTAATTTCTGATATTGTGCCTCTGACTGTTCTTGGAGTGAAACAAGTTTCCCCGAGCTTTCAGGCTGTTATTTAAATACTGCTCTTTGTTCCGCTAATAAGGTCAGAACATTCTAACAGCAACAGCTTTTTGTGTATTTTGGATATTGTGCACTCACGTAAGATGTTCTGAAATCACATGGAGTGGCATATAACTTCCTAAAAAAGTATACTACAGGATGGATTAGCCCTCCATGATCCACCTGGGGGTAAATTGCTGTCCTTCCTGGCTGCCCCAAGCAGCAGAAAAACCCTACAGCAGAGTAGATGAAACCTACAGCCTATGGGCCAGATGTAGCCTGGAACTTCATTTATATGGTTTATGGTCAAATGAGACCTGTCATTTCAAAATTACCTGCAGGTGAGCATAAAGACAGCTCTCTGTTATGCACATGCATACTGTGAGCTGATAACATCTGTGAGTAGAGGGAGGAAAAGCATGAACACAAGGTGAGTACAGTAATGACGAGACACCATTTATCTTTCACATTAATAATGTTAGAGCATATTTTAATGTGTGGTCCTCAAAAGTTAGTAATGGTAAATACTTAGCTGCCCTGAGAAAATTGTTCCCCACCCCTATATTAAGTGGTAAAAGGGCAGAGGAATGGGTGCTGCGTTATGATCAGAAACACAGTGCCTTCCCTAAAAATGAGACTGTCTCATGCTAATTTACTCATGTTCTTACAGTCTGAGGGCCAAAGTTCTGTCCATGCAAGATGTGTAATCTTTTCTCTGTGACAGAGAATGGGAAGGAAATCTTAGAGCTCTATAGAGAAGATTATTTTCACACTTCACTTTTTTTTCTCCGGGAAATACAGAATTTATCAATATGAATTAAAATGAAGCTGGAAATATTATTTTTAAAATAGAGTATATGCATTATTAAAAACTGTCAGATATTTTTCTTCAGATAGAGGAAGAGACCTGGAGTCAAGTGAGATCAAGTTCTGTCCTTGCTCTGAAACTTGCCTTTGTAGACATGCCCATCTTACAAAATGTTTTTCATTGAATTGGGGTGGGGGGGGAGGGGGTAATGCTAATTACAAACTAGAAGGTAAACAGCCAGTATACTCCTGTCTCCAAGCTAATTAGCTCAATTGAGTGGCAGGGATTTTTGGTCTGAGACTAAATATGATCCTACTTTGGGGACTTCAGCTGTGCTACCTTTGCATGTGTTGTGTTGAAGATGTATGAAAAAGGGTCTTGCAGTGGCTCGGAATCTTGTTTCCAGGCTTTAAGTCTTTCCTGAATCAATTCCTTTATTTCACTAGTAGAGATGATCATATTTGTATTTGTAAAACCATTTGAGATTATCTTAATAAAATAAATATTGAAATGTATCGTATTTGGAATATATTGGAACTTGGTATAAGCAAATTTTACTGTAGCTTAGGAACATAGTAAACCAGTATGTAAATCTTCTAGTGATTCAGAAAGAGTTAACTAGTGTCTACTTGTTTAACACATTACTTGAACCTGTGGTTTGAGCCAACCCCTAGTAAATATGTTCACCTGTGAGGAACAGGTAATCAATGTAAGGAGGCACAGAGGAACAAAAGCAGAGGAGAGTTTGAGCATTTTCTGCAGAAAGGAAAACTCAAACTCAGTTTTGACTTAAAAGCCTTAAAACTCAATTTGGAGAAGACTCAAAAAGAAATGAAGAAAAGACCAAAGCAGCTGCTTTGGATGTCAAAAAAAGACACAAAAGGTAAGTTTTGTTCAGCAGTGTTCTAGGTATGGATAAGAAAATATTGATGGGAGGTAGGAATAAATCCTCATACACTCTACAGTTCTCAAAAAAAATTTTAGCTGAATGCTAAGGGGTCTGGCCTAAATCTAAAGAGAGGTGAGGTCTAAGATTCAGTGTAACTTACTTGTAAGGATAGTGTAAAGCTCTATCCCAAAAGTAAGAGTTACTTAAACTCTGAGATAGAAAGTGAAGAAAAAACTAGCTTGTATTTGGAGGCTGAAGAGGTGTTTGCTGATGTTGTTTAGTCTTTCTGTTGCTGGACAAAGGATGGGACAGTGTGACTCAGCTGGAGGACAGTCAAAAGAGGAGAGGAAGGATGCAATGGCTGTTTGTTCATGGGAGTCTGTGTGGGGAAGTAGGTATTTCAGCCTCTTTTGATTCTACTTTTTAAGAACTGAGAGCTGTTGAGTATGGAAGGGAAGTACATCTGGGTGCAACGTGTAATGTTCTTTTTAACAACGGTTATAATGATACTCATCTGGGTGTATATTTCATCCTATAAGTATCTTCCACAAGTTAGTTTAATTAATGTAAAACTGACCCAGGGAATACAATTTTGGTCACTATCCATGAAACATAAGCGATCTTTGTTTTGAGATAAATGCAGGAATACAGTGGCTACCACTTTTTTCTCACCTTCTGCATCATCAATAAAGTGATAAGTCTATTAAATATTTGTGCATTTGTAGATCAGAAGGTTAACTTCCTCATACAATTTTGATCAAATTGAATGAATCAGTGTCATTAAATTTCAGTTCACTGAAAGGTTATTTTCCTGAGCATTTCATAACCTAAATAACTTACAGCTATGGAAAAGGAATACAAGGCAAATGCTTTCTGTTATATATCCAGATTTTTTTAATCAGAAATTGAAACATCAGCTCTTTTTCATTTAATTCTTAATATTCCTAATTATATATATCATCATTTACAATTTGAGCCAGAACCAGCAAAAGGAGAGGAATGTGTAAATAAAGTTCATTTGAAAGATTATGTAGCATTTTCTTAGTAGACTGCCAAGCCAGTTCTACAAGTACAAAGTCCAGGATACCGGAGATAATTTGCAGAAAAAATGTTCAGTACTTTTTAAGAGCTTAAAAGAATCCATATCCCAAATCTCGAGGTCCTCTTGTCACTGTTGCTTATAGAAAAGATTGACAAAATAACTCCTTGCAGTGCAGTACCTAGAGTTTGCAGAACCATTATAAAATGCTCTCTAAAACTATTGTAATAAGAATTGGTTGTTTTGAAGTAGCAGGGAAATCATTGGATGAACTCATTCATTTAACAAAGTCTCTCAAGCACGGGGTATTTTCCTTTCACAGAAGATTCATATATTCATAGCTTCTAATGGCCTTTATTTAGGCAATGTGTTTATATTGTTTAGACATTCACTTTAGTTATCTGCATTTTCTCACATGGTATTTGGTTTGATAGATCACTGCACCTTCCCTGAGACATATCCTTTACTGACGTTATCTTGGAGGAGGGAGGAATAGAGTTTCAAGTAAAAGGAAATAAAATGAGACCATTTTTTATTGAACCTTGAGAAATTAGGATGCTGTGTGCAGAATAGTGATAGTCTCTTCCAAATATAATACATGGAAGGCTTAAAATTGTTTAAAGTGGACTCTGTTTTGGGAAGTATTGATGTGTTTATAATAAAACAAGTATATTGCCAAATGTCAGACTTTTAAGCTAGCCTGGCTAATTCATTCATTATTACTATTAAGAATTACCATTTTGGAGACCTAAATCCATGTCTTATGCAGTGAGCAGATGGTTTCTGGCACCTAAGTCGCCTGATAGCATCTTTGCTTCCCTCAGAAGACTTAGTCATGGTTTCTGCAAAAAAATGCAAATAGTTCCATTATTTTTAGTAGAAGTATGTATTGCTCACACGTAGGGCTTCCAGGATCAGTGTCTACTAATGCATTCCAGTGTTTTCTTCTTTTATGAAGAAAGGGACTTTTTAACCACCAAAGAGAAATAGTTTTCTTTCAGGAGCTGGAATCTGTTATTTGTAAAGGAGAGATTTTAATCACTGAAAACATGAAGCCAACACTGACTTGTAATTGGTTAATTGTGTAGATTCTCCAGTGTGGTTTGCAACTCTATGGCAGCACATTCAAGCTATTATGTAGTAGCCATGACACATTGCCCATAGGCTGTGTGCTTGTGTGGGAATGTTGGACCCTGTGAAGGAGCTCCCACAGGCTACATCAAGAATGCACAGCTGGTGGTCTTCACCCTCCTTGTCTTAGAGTTGTCCAGATAGGAGACTTGGCCGGAAAGCACCGCACCACCTAGATTTCCTTCCTGTGTAAATCAGAGTGCTGCGGTGTGGTGCCTGTGGAGGGGGGGATCTTCATTCCAGTGAAGAGCTAGCGCACAGTAGGGTACATGATAACACACAGGTGGTGGGAAGTGATCCCGATTCCTCAGTTCGGGCAGCACTAGGGCCCTCGAGATGTGCAGTAAAATTCTTGGTGATTTGCTTGGTTCCGCTCCCTCCCCCCATCAGAACACAAAAAGAAAAAAATGTATCAGAAGCATTTTGTTGCACAAAACGTGATAACCTGCCACATTTTCCTATAAATCATCATTTTGTTTGTACTTGATTAATTCTTCATGGTTTTTCTTTTGTAAATAAAGAGATCTATGCTTCCAATTCTATTACTTCCACATGTTTAGAGTAGCGCTATTTGTAATCAAAGACAGTGTTTTGACATGGCTGAGTGTGGTGGTTTTTATGGTTACATCCTTCTGTCTTCTATCATTGTATCCTATTGCCCTCCAGATACATTTTGATTTAGACAAAATAAAAATCACCCTGTTTGTTGGGTGGGCATTACTGGAGTGTTAGCAGCAACAGCAAGGTCAGTTTTGGTTTTTCAGCAGCCTGTTTTCCCTTACCAAGATTTCCATGAGATGATGTTTGGAAATGTTTTATAGATGTTCTTCTTGTAGTTTTATCTTCACTGCTATAGCTCTCAATAAACATTGTTTTGAAGTATTTTTGTAGTGTTTTGATCCGTATTACTTGGAGAATGGAAGTATGTGGTAGCTAAAGCAATATTTTTTTGAAATTTGAAGTAAAACATAAAGCTCAATGCTAGTATTCTGTAAGTAGAATAATTAATTTTGAGAAAAATCACAATGTAAACAAAATATAGATCTTAATTATATGTAAGTTGATTGATCGTCTTCCTGAATACCCAATAAATCTTATGCCTAATATTATTGAGGCCCAGTTTCTACTTGTCTCTTAAAGATCAGATTTTTTTAAATATATAAAAGTATATAATATAGATAAATAAATAATGCATATAAACAAAAGATATAACATATATGCTAAAGATATATTTTAATATAATTTAGATTTATAAAAAGTTTGTTTTATAAATATATAATATTAGATAATTTATAATTTGTATCTCTAAAAACCAATGTGTTATTTTATTAATGCTGCTTTTAAAATACTGTTTCTAAGTAAGTCTTGTTTATTGCTTTGTACAATTTCAAACAGCATTGTATTTCCATCATGGCTATTACAAAATTTAGAAATGGGAAATGATGTATTTTTAATATCAACTTTTTAACACGCATCTCTTGACTCTTTTTTTCACTGTTGCTACCCCTTTTCCCTGCATCCCTTTCAGGTATAAGCACATTCTGATGGCTCCAGACCCAGTACCAATGTATGCTCTAAAACTGTTGGTGGCCCTGACTGAGCACAGCCCCGCTTCTGTGAGGTGATAGAACCTTTCTGTTTCAAATAATTTTTTTCCATTGGGAGTTAACATTAACTTAGATCTCACTATCATACTACTTTGACTAGCACTTAGGAGATTTAGAGCATTCTTGGAGAGTATTTGCTATAGAACACAATCTTATGTCTTTTGTGCCGATTTTATATGATCCTGGTTATTTTAATGCAGATTTAGCCAGTGAAACACTAGACAAAATCATAAGAATTTTAATATTAAAATTATCATTAAAAAAAAAGAATACCAAAACATTAATAAATCTGTTGTCCAGCTAAGCATATTTGTATTAGGACAAAGGTGATGTGTTTGTAAAAGTTTTAGACCAGTCAATTCGCTTTAAAGCTGTTAAGTTTTTCTGCAAATACAGCTACCCTTTTAAGTTCCTAAATACAGATTTTAATGTTTGGTATAGGTACACTGAGCATCTTTAAAAGAACCTAAACTACTTTTGTTGATAGTAATAAGGAAGCATCTCTCTCTCATACGTGTGCACACACATAGCTATTCCTCTTCTCTGATCTGCCCAGAAAATCAGGTTGTTCTTGCACTTACCATTGTCTGTTTGTGATGTTTCTGTTATGGCTAAGAAGTCACTGTTGTCACAATACTGACTTGCTTTGATTGATTGAAATGAGCAGAAGATTTAAAAAAAAACAAAAACAAACAAAACATAAGGAAGGAAATTTAATTTGTTGTCCCACTGTTTTTATGACAAAAGATGAAAACATCCTCTTTTAATCTCTTATGGTGCTACTGTGAACAGTGCTTTAATATACTAAGTAGACTAAAAATGAACTAGGAAATAGAGTGGCTTGAGTTTTTAAATGGTTTCAATACAGTAAATGTACTTAATGGTATTTTTACTGTATGGAAGCTATGCTACTGCAGGATTTTATGTATTATACAAACAAATAGTACAGCTTTCTATTTTTAGAATTAACCTGCAGATATTTTAATACTTGAAGAGTTATAAAAAATATTTCTGTGATTAGAATGCTGGATATTATAGCAGCACTTTTCCTCTGCCTAATGAATTATTTTTATGTGAGGAATCATGTGTATTTGCTCTTATGCTCAATGTAGGTAGATTGTGGTTGCACGCTCATCCTCATGGTCTTCTTACAGCAGACAGCAATTATTTTCTTAATATTATTAAAGAGCAGCCATGGATATTCAATGAACTATTAGTAATTTTAAATATCAGTGTATCTGGTACTGTTATTTAAGGACAGGCTACTAGATTCTGGATACTAACACATCTGTGAGAAACAGAACAATTATGTCTCACTGGCCCTTTTCTTTCACTAAATAATTTGGCTACATTTCTGAAGGAGCGGATTCTTTGATTTCCCAATAACTTTAGCTGGAAGTAGCCGAATGCCTCAAAAGTGTGACAGAGGTTAGTAATATATTCATATTTGCACAAACTGCTAGTGAACAAAGTGAGAAGCAGATACATGCTATAGTGAATGCTAGGTCATAATCTGTTTTGGTTTGATGGCTAGTTAATCGGTACACATGGAGCTCAGAATTACTCAAGGCATATGCTCTCTTTTGTTCCTTTCATTAGGCACATGGAAAGTATCTGTGATTATTGTGATGGCAAGTAAATACGTAACATTGGACACAAATCCTTTGAGATTAAATTAGCTCTGTGTGGAAAAGCTCTACTATATTTTAGTACTGATGACAGTGATGTGAGTCACTTTTTGTTGAGTCCCTGTGGCTTCTCCAAGCTTACATTTCATCCACAATGCCTGGCTTTCAAAGATGGATGCTTTCTCCTGTGACTTACTTTAAACAACTGAAAATGGTGGTAGCAAAAAGATTGTAAAATGACAAAATGTTGAGTTAGTATTTATCTTATTGTTTCCACATCTTCCAAAAATAGCTATTATTAATAACTTTATTTTGAAATAAGAGTGAATTGGGAGGAGGATGAGGGCTACTATGTCTTATTTAGTTTGTTCCATATGATAGCTTCTTCTCAGACGTTCACCTAGTGCATTCTGTCCTTCTTGGTCTGTTTTCTTTTATCCTGCCATTTTTCTTGCATCTCACACTTAATTTCTTCTTTCCATCTCCTCAGTCTTTTCTTGTGTGCTTCCTGATAGAGGCATCAGCGTTTGAACAGTTCTGGAACAGTACTTGAAAGGAGACAGATGCACTTCAATCTTTTGTTTCTTTTTTTCATAGCTGATACTGTAAATCAGCTAACTTGAGATATCAGAGGAAGAACATTTGGTCTTTTCTTTACCCTTTTCTTTGACACTTCTGTTTTCTATTACAGGTAGTTTTTTCTATATGTCAGAGGCACAGATATTAAAATATTAATATGTTTTAATGTCATATAAACTTATGATAAAATACTGCTAATATACAATACCTATTTTGAATGCCTTTAATATTTTGTAAGAATACCAAAAATACCATGTCACCTTTGCCATTATTTCACTGATGGGGTCATTTTTAACATTCTGTATTATGGGAGATCTTCCACTCTATTACTTTTCAATTTAGCAGTGCAGAATTCTCGTGATGTCCCATTAATGTGCTGTAGAATTAGATCTCTCACAAACATATGTTCCAGCATGTGTGGCATGCTTGCCAATGTGACGCCCGTCTACAAG